AAAAAAAAAAAAAGTGTGTGCCATAACCAGGGCCACCCTCCAGCATGATGCTTCCTCCTAAACAAGCCGATCTGAGGCAGACATGCAAGCAGACCCCATGGCACTGAGGCAGAGGAGGAATGAATGTGTGCATGTAGGAGACAACTCCAGTGGCCAGCCAGCAGGGGAAACTCGTTTACGGGAAAATGGCATCCTTGTCTCCTAGGCCAAGGGAAGATATTGCATCCATAAAACAAGAACAGGGTACTGCAAACCAAGAGTAACAGGAGGGCATGAGAGAGCTCTTTGTAGGGCCTGAAAATGACAAGAAGAGTTTAGTGGAAAGACTGGAAGATGAAGGAGAGGGACTATCCCAAAAGGACAGCAGAGGGACAGGAAAAATGGGAGAGAAAGGTAAGAAATCAGGAGGAAATGTCAGAGGTTGCATCACTCATTCATGGGTGTTTCTGACAGAGAACAGAATGGGAGAAATCACCTAATGAGTGCTAAGCCACACTCAGACCGGAAAGCCAGGAGCAAGCAGAGACAAAGCCCCACCAGGCACATAGCTCAGTGACCCTGCCCAGGGTGGGGGCAGAACCCAAGAGGAGTTGGTGGTCCGGTGCCTCCCACGGCATGGCCAACAGGCCAGGCTGCTTCCGGAGTCTGGCAGAAAGTCTCCACCAGCACATCAGCACCCAGACTGGTGACCAGGCAAGGGAGAGGTGGAGAAAACATCCAGGCCATCAAAAATTTGCCTCCCAAGCTGGCTGCTTCTGCGGCCAGCTCTGAAGTGCCTTTCAGAGCTGCTGGGAGGAGGCTGAGCCCTCTGAACATCCCTGGAAGTTGGTGAAGTGAGGAGCCAGATCACTGGGCCAGGAAAGCGGGGAAGGAGGCCTGGCATCCTGGAACAAGGCCTGCAGAACCCCACCGGGCCATCCCAGAAGTGTGTGCAGCACCCTGGAGCCCAGCACAGGCAGAGATACTGGACACAGGAAGACTTAACAGGGGAGGGAATCATTAACAGAGGCGGGCTGGCTCCTGTGGCCATCGAGCACTGTGGGCCAAGTCCTTGGTGGGGAGACAGTGGGGTTACCGCAGTGATAGCCTCCAGGGTCAAGCCAGCACAGGGGATACCTGATAGTCCAGCCTCTCTCTGGGTGCCGCATGGGGTTCCCAGCCACACATGTGCATGTGGGTCTCTAACAGACCTAACAAGTGGATGTAGTGGGGCATGCGTAGACCACCCCTCCCAGGAGCCCAGCGGCAGTGCCCACACCCCTCGGAACCTCTCCTCTGGAGGCCCCGTCCCAGGCAGGAGGTGCCCCAGGCCTATGGGTGTGGCTGGCAATGGAGGTCACGCCCCGGCAATGGCTCACCCAACAGGTTCCCCTTTGGGCACCTTCAGGACTTTGCCCCTGCCAGAGATGTCGCTGCCCTCTGGGGCCATGGCGCCTGTGCCTGCCAGGTCCCAGACACTGACTCAGAGGAGGCTGGCGGACATGGCTTGCTGGGGGTGGCACCATTGCCCCTGGGGGCCGCTGCTCCTGGTAACCAGGCAGAATGCCCCAGGGTGAACAGGCTGAGAGGGCTGCTCAGGGGTGCCGTGCTCCCCCGCCCTACCCTGGGGTGCCAGCTTCTTGGTGTGCATACAGTCTGCTGTCCAAGTGAATCCAGTTTCTCTCCAGCCCTGGGTAAGTGAGGACAGGGTAAGGCGGGTGTGTGGCCTAGGGCAGCCAGGCCTGGCCCACATCACTGTCACCCGCAGCAGACTGACAGATACAGCCCGGCCTGGGGGAGGCCTGTGGCCTGTGAATCGGAATGTCCTCAGGAATGTGTCTTCAGGAATGTGCCTCCCCTGGGGGGTGTCAGCCCCACACAAGGGCCTCCTGGGATGGTGTTACAGAGGTCAGGGTCCTGGATGAGCTCTGTGGCCGGCTCTGCCATCCCTGGGCTCCTGGACGGACACCAGCACCAGGCCTGGCAAGCCCACCTGGTGGCTCTTCAGGTAACCCTAACACCAGAGATCTGGCTGCCACTGCTGTGGGTCCTCGGAGCTTTTTGAAGGTGATGGAGCTGTGTTAGGATTGAAACTGATGACTGTGGAGTTTATTAACTGTGTTTTTGAGCTTGAATCTTACCTGTGATTAATTTTTAAAAGACTCTTTTATAACTTGGTCTTTCTCATATGTCAGTGTATTTGTAGGTTACTGGATTTTGTTTTTAGGGAGTTGGGTATTAATTTCTTCCCTTTCTTGGTGAAGTCGGCTCAGCTCTGGTGCTGTTCAATAGATTGAATAGGTCTTCAGATTCAGGTCTGCAGCAGAATGCTGTAGTTAGCACAGTTATTGTTTGTAATCAGATTGTAAGCATGGATTTGTGTTTGTACCTGAGTCTTTGGATTTCCACATTTGGTTACGTAGACTTCGGGGTCCTGCTTGGCTTCAGTCATGTGCTTGTACTTTTATGTGACTACATCACTATGGTCTATTTGGGTTTGTGGTTCAATTTAGAACTGTGTTAAATGGATGTTTTGCGTTTGACTTCTTTTTCCATCAGCCTGAAGTGAACTGTTTAATCTTTGAACTCTGGGATCTCGGGGGGAGGTGTGAGTAAACTTCCCAGACCCATGGAGAAAATGGCAAGGCACATTGTAGCCCCAGCCTAAGGCCAGCAGGTCTCCCTACTGAGAAACAGGCCCCTCCGAGGTTCTGGTCACTTTGTTGCGTCCAAGGGACTGGGCAGGTGCAAGGCTGCTAGGGAGATGGCTTGCTTCCAAAGTAAGGAAAGGAGTCACTTTTCTCCATGGACGTTGGAGCCTCCTGAGGTCCCCTCTGGTCTGCAGCTCAGCCCAGCCTCTGTCACTGCCCTGTGACCCTGTGGGAGCCTGGGAGCTCTTCGCAGCACCCATGGGGGCAGGCTGTGCTCTCCAGTGCCAGTTTACAGAGCTGGGAGTTGGGATGAGAACATTGGGTCTACAGGTCCCTGACAAGCGTGGGGATGCAGCCCAGCTGGGTGTGCACGCACATCACTCCTGAGTGCCTCCAGGGAGACGCTGTCCTGGCTCTCGGCCCCAGCTGGAGCTTCGTTGGCATGTGCTGCGGCCACGCAACAGGACAGGGCACCGGCGCATCACATACCAAGCCCAGTGTCTGCCTGTGGGGACACGAGTCCCTTCCAACTGCATCTCTTCTCCTGGCAGAGCTAGGCTTGGGTTGCTGACCCCAGGGGACGGAAGTGGCAGCTGTGCTGGAAGGAGGAAGGTGGCGGTGTTGGGACTGTACTGGGGCAGTGTCTCTGCAGGGCTGCAGGACAGCAGATAGGACACCAGCTGTCAGGGCACAGGGCCACGGGTGCCAGTGCCAGTATGGAGCTCTGGCCTTGCGCCAGGGAGGGCATCCTGGGGCTGTGGCTTGGGCTGGAGCACAGCCAACACCTGTGCCCCCAGCATCCCTCATAGCCATGCAGCACTTGGGGTCTGGGCTCAGGCTGGTGCTCGTAGGGCTGACCCAGGTCAGCAGCCCCACTCCAAGTTAGAAATTGGAAAGTGCGAGCGTGTTCCCTGCCCTGGGGAGGTTTCATGGCCATAGGAGAAGGAGCTGGTGGGCCTGGGTTCACATCTGGTTCTGTGTCACCCCACACTGTGTCCCTGGCCAGTCCCCGGCCTCTGCCAGCCTGTGCCTCCTGGGAATGATGGTCAGGGGCATGTTGAAAGAGGCAGGGCTGTGGTCCCTGCCATATCATCTGATGCCAGAGGCCAGAAAGGCCCCAGATCAGCAAGAGGAAGTGGTTCCAGGAGGCATCTGGGCCGCAGTGAGGGGCTGAACCAGGGTCCCAGGACCTTAAGAAGAAGCTGGGTGACTTCCAAGGTCCAGCCCAACCCCTGGCTGCTCCCACCCAGCTCTCTGAGCTCAGAGTCCTGCACCTTCCCTGGCCCTAGCAGGGACCAGACTTCATCCTCAGATGAGCCGAGAACAGGTGCCGGCCGTCTCTGGCCATCCCAGGGAGGCCCTCAGTGACCAGGGCCGTGCTTGTCACATCCTGGAATCTGTACCAGGCCCCATCTGTTTTTTGGCATGTATTTGGGCGCAGTGGGTGCAGGCCTGGAGGGCCCTGGCAGGAGCCCCAGTGCACCCGTCCCCCACCTCTGTCCTCCCCTCAGGCCCAGCATGTCCCAGCGGCACTCGGACAGCTCCTTGGAGGAGAGGCTGCTAGAATACCGCTTCCACTCAGAGCTGCAACTGGATGCCAACGGCAACCCTTCGTCCAAGCTCCCCATTGTCCGGGGCTCCCTGCAGTCCAGGACCAATGCTGCCTTCGAGCCAGAGGCCCTGGCGCCGCCACAGCCACCCTCAGAGGACCAGGAGCCGCGGGCCATCGTCCTGAGCACACAGAGCCCCGCGGCCCTCAAGATGGGCACCCAGCAGCTCATCCCCAGGAGCCTGGCTGTGGCCAGCAAAGCCAAGACCCCGACCCGCCACCAGAGCTTCGGGGCGGCTGTGCTCAGCAAGGAGGCTGCGCGGCGGGACCCCCAGCTCCTCTCGTCGCCCAGCTTCTCCTTGGACGACATGGACATGGACTTGGGCCCTGGAGGGACACTAAAGCGAAACCTGCGGACCCAGTCTTACCGGGCGGCCATGAAGGGGCTGGGGTCTCCCCGCAGCAAGGGGGACTCCAGCCAGCTCAGCCCCAAACTCCAGGCGCTGGCTGAGGAGCCCAGCCAGCCTGCCACCCAGTGCCCAACCAAAAACAAGGTAGGGTCTTTGCCCGGCCAGGCTGGGACCCAGGGCCCCCGCTCATAGGTGGGGAGGGGTCTCACCCACTGTTCCCTGCGCTCTGCCTCGGCAGCTGCTATTTGCTAGTCTGACTGCAGTGTGGCAGGACAGGCCGGCACCAGTAGCACCCCCACCCAGTGAAGCCCCTCTGTGAGCCTGACAGCCCACCTCTCTGATGACACCTCAGAGCTCAAGACAGGGACCCAGGCGCCTGCTATGTGTACCCCAGAGAAGGCCGCCATTCCCTGTGCGCTTCCCTGCCTGCCTCAGTGGCTCCGGGGCTGGGTGCGCAGTTCGCCCTTCTCTGCTCAGGTCACTGTGGCTCACGGGGACAGTGCCCCTCGCCATCTGAGTCACTGTCCCCCACACTGGGCGACAGACGTTTGCTGTGGGCACCAGGCCATGCTCTGTTTGCTCTGATTCCTGATCGCCTGTCCCATCCGGTCCTGTCCGGTCCTGTGCAATCTCCTCCTGTCCCGTCCAGCCGGACAATCCCCACTGGAGAAGCCTGGGGAACCTGGGCTTCTCCCCACCTATGGCAAGCATGCCACAGCAGGCTGTTTGTATCATTGAAATCTCTAAAAGGTTTGCCATCATGGACTGGGGATTCTGTGTGGGTGTCCCTGCCTGGGGGCCTGAGGATACAGGTGGGGCCTTGCAGCTGTGTGGCGCCCAAGTTCCTGAGCTTCCCTGAGCTCTGCTTCCTGCCACCACGATACACTCAACAGAACACAGCCAGGGCAGAGCCAGGCAGGGAATTTGGAAAGGGTGTGCTGGTTCTGGCACTGCCACCCCAGCCTCATTTCCTGGCCTCCCAGCATGGAGAGGTGTGACCGCTGCCAGGGTGACAGCCACCAGCATGCAGGGGCTGATGGTGATGGAGGCAGGGCCCCTGCCCCCAGGGTCAGCACTGCCCTGGACCACAGCTCCTGCCATGGCTGCCCAGGTGGCCCAGACCCCAGAACCTGGCTGGGCCGGTGTGGCCCTGAGGCACTGTGCCCCCAGGGTCCTCCTTTCCTAAGGGCTCACAACAGGCCCCAAGCTGGGTGCCAAGCTGAGCCCAGTGGGCACAGCCCCACCCTCAGAGAGCTCCAGGGCAGAGGGGTACAGAGCTGGAGGTAGGGTGAAAGCGGAACCAGGAAGGAGGAGGGTGGGGAGGGAGCAGGGCTAGGAGTCCACACCTTCCTAGCTAGTGGGAGTTTTCAGGCCCCAACTGGTTCTGAGAACTGGCCCTGCCTTCCTGGAACCAGCACACCTGCATGGCTCCTGCATCCCAGCCAAGAAGGGGGCTTCCCAGACCTCTGCCCATCCCCTCTTTCAGCTTCTGGGGCCCTGACCAGTGCCGGGGCCAGACAGTAACCAGCGCAGCCTTGCTCTTCCTGCCACCCCAAGGGGCCCTGGGGATGCCACAGGCCCCACCCTACCGCTACCCCTTGGCCCTCTGCCAAGCTCACTGCCACCTCACCTCCCCCAAGCCCATTCATAACTCCTGGAGCCCTGTGCTCCCTTCTCCTGCCCACCTCATGTCCACCCCAGCCCTATTTCCCACCACCCCAACTGTCCTGGCCTCTGCTCGGTGCCCTGGGGCCATGGTGAGGTTTACTGGGCACCTGTGTGTGCAAGCAAAGCCCCAGGCATGGACCCCCCAGTGATACTCACTGCAGACCCACACCCTGCCAGCCCCCATGACTGATGTTTCATCTCCTTTGTGCAGAGGACGCTGGGCCGGAAGCGTGCACACAAGGGCTCCTTCAAGGACGGTGAGAGGCTGGGCCTTTGGATGGGGTTTGGGTGGTGGCTCAGGATAGAGGAAGGGCTCCTTGGGGTCCTCCAGTTGATCTGACCATGTGGGTCCAACTCAAGTCCAATCAGCTCCCTGGACTCCCATGTAGCCCAAGGGTAGGGGACACAGAGCCCCCATTCGGGGGCCGTGGCCAGATCAGGGCCCAGGCCCAGAGTGGGTAGACGGCCACTCTGCACTGTGTGGAGTCTTCCAGGCCCAGGAGCTGGGATCAGACTTCTCTGTCCTAATTTGGGGGGGCACTGTGTCCAGGAGAGGGGTGGGGGGACTCTAGGTGTCAGGGCGAGGTCGGTGGTAGCCGCTGGCACATGGGCAGGCTCATGGGGCACCCGTGGCCCGGCCCCCTCTGCTGCAGGCACCACTGCACACGGGGCTCTGGTTCATCAGTTATCCTGGCCTGGAGGTGCCACATTCTTCTCTGCTGCTGCTGCTGGCCCTAAACAGCTGCGGGGGCCCCCAGCCAGTGGGCAGCCTGCCTGGGCCCTGCACAGCTTGATGTTCTCGGGGGTCCTGGGGGGCCTTGGGGAGGGTTTGGCCCCCTCTGAGCCCCCCAGCAGACAGGTGCCTCTGCTCCTCTCTCCAGACCCTGGATTCTACCAGGAGATCCGGGAGCGGGGCCTGAACACCAGCCACGAGTCTGATGATGACATGCTCGATGAACCCCCTGGCCCTGAAGGGACCCGGAGGGTGGACACCTCCATCGTGGTCAAGAGCTACCGGCCCGTCCAGGTCATCTGGAGCCAACTCCCTGAGGTAGGCCAGGAGGGGCGACCTTCCCAGCCCAAGGTGATCTCATTTTTTCAGGGAGGCAGGGCTGTTTTCTGGGCACCCCCGTGTGCACTGGGCTGCCTTTTCCCTGTGGGGCTGGATGGGCACTGTCGGTGACACTGGGAGGGGAACACAGTGAGGGACGTGCTTGCTATCACCATGCGTGTGATGGCATCTCTGCCCTCACTGAGCTGCTGGGTGCTCCCCAGGGAAACCCTGGGAGAAAGGCCTGGGGTCTGAGTGAGGCAGCTGCAGGGTTGTGAGCTGGGCCAGGCCTTGGCTCCTGCACCAAGCTGTGTGCCAGGGCCAGGCTTTTATCGCTCCTATGCCTGACAGCATGGCACCCCTGCCCTACAGGTGGGACCCAGTGGAGAGCAGTTGGGCTGTGGCCCTACAGCCTGGTGTGCAGCTGCTAGGGCACACATGTGACCCTGTGCCCAGAGGGTTGTGGGGTGGCAGGCAGCTGGCAGGGTGGACCTGGTGTCCCCTTTGTCTCCCTACAGTGGGGCGCCTTGTCTGCCACCCCAGGGGCATGAGGGGCCCCTGTGCTATGCGGACCATCGGAAGGCAGGGAGGCCCAGTGAACCACCCAGAGGGAGAATCCAGAACATGGGTTTATCCCATGCTCGAGGGTGGGGCCTGGCACACTGCACCCCAGCAAGGCTGCCAGATACTCAGACCCAGCCCCCCAGGCCTGAGACAAAGGCCTGAGGCCCCACCTGTGGCCTTCCACCCAGCCCAGCCAAGTGGGGAGGAGGGCATGGGGCAGCAGCAGGTGCCATGGCAGTGTAGCCTGCCCAGCCTGTCAGAAGGAGGTGTGCCCCGACTCGGGGGAGTCGTGCCCCAGCCAACGCAGCCATGGCCACAGCCAGAGGGGTGGGGAACGTGGGCAGTGTCCCCTCAGGGATCTGCACTGTCACCTTCCCTGGTGGGTTTGAACCATGCCCTGACCCCTGCACTGCCGCCCCTCTCCCACCCACCCACGGCAGATTTTTGGGACAAGAGCCACCCCTGCCTGGCCTGACTGTCAGATGCCCCCACTCTTTGTTGGCCCCCCAGGCGGCTCCCAGAGAGGAAGGTGGTACTGTGCCCACACCCTTCCTTCTAGGGCTTGTCTGTCCCCGCGTTGGCTCTGGTCCAGAAGGATGGAAGTGGGACTTTGGTTCCCCTTCCGCAATGTGGGATGTGACTGGGCCTGTGCCTCCCCAGGTGGTAGAGTCTGGCGTCCTGGAAAAGCTGTGCACCGAGGAGCGCAAGAGGCAGGAGGTGAGGCCGTGGCGATGCCACCACTCGTACCCCCATGGCCTCCTCCCTGCATGCCTTCCCCAGGACCGGGCAGCATCTGAGCCCCTCCTGTCCCCACCTGGGCCCAGGGATGGCAGCCTTGAGGGACCCACCACTTCCTCAGACTGCACTTCCTGCAGCTCCACAGGGAAGCCACAGCAAAGCTAGGAGTGTGGGCTACTGGCCAGGGCGGCCACCCGGGCTCGAGCTGGCCATGTCCCATCTGACCCTGCCTGTCGGGCCATCCCCACTGTTCGAGCATGTTACGGCATGCACACAGCCAGCCCCCTCCAGCACAGGCTCACTGGCTGCCCCCACAGGCCATCTTCGAGATCCTCACGTCCGAGTTCTCCTACCTGCACAGCCTGGGCGTCCTGGTGGCTGAGTTCCTGCAGTCCCGGGAGCTGCGGACCTCCATGACGCAGATGGAGCATCACCACCTCTTCTCCAACATCCAGGACGTGCTGGCTGCCAGTCGGAGGTGAGCCATAAGGAGCCCACCGCGGGATGGGCCTGTGCTTCTCGGCAGGCTGCCCTGGAGTTCCTCGTCCTGGCTGGCCAGGTGACACTGCTGGCAAAGCCCCTGTTTGCGTCCGTGCTGGGACAGCCAGAGCAGCTGGCTGGGAGGAGGGAGGTGACAGCCTCAAATGGGCTCTGGAGGCACCAGGAGCCGGACCTGGGGACAGGTTGGGCACTGGATGGAAGGTATCCTGGACCTCGGTGGTCACCACAGGGTTGGTCATAGAGAGCTGTGTAATGCAGGCGTGTGGAGGGAGGGCCTGGGACACGGGCAGTGGTGCTCAGGGTACTCCCCACCAGAGGCAGCCCACCTTGCAGCTGGGTTGGGCTCTGCAGCGTCGCTGTTGAGGAGCAGGAGGGGCTGGGCATGCAGGTGTGGGCCTTGGGTGTGTGTCTGTCTGTGCCTGTGTGTGTTGAATTCCCAGAAAGGCACAGCACCCCAGGAGATCCAGAGCCTCCCTGGCCTGGAGCCTCAACCTCATTATTGACCCTAGGGCTGGTGTGGGGCCCCTGGTGGCCTGCTGGGGTTGGTCAGAGGATTCAGTTGTGTGGTACCCACTGGGCCCTCAGCAGTGGAGGCTGCTGGCTCCTTCCTGTCAGAATCAGCCAGCCTGGCCGAGCCCCACCCAGACTCTGCTGCCTGTGGGCCCCCAGAATTCCAGGGAAGAGCCACCTGATGTAGGCCTGTGCCTGGAGATGGGCAGCACTCCCTTATCCCTCAGGGCTCAGGTGCAGCCTCTCCATGCCGAGGTGGCTGGCCCTTATGCCTCTGTCCTCAAGCTTATTCCTGGGGCAGGAACAGGATTTGGTGTTTGGAGGGAGCATAAGGAGCAGGTAAGAAACCTGGGGTGTCTCTGGGAGGGCTATGGTACAGGTGCACTGCCCGTCACCTGCGGCCCATCCGGTGTGGGACCTGACCTGTTGGCTGCTACCAGTTTAGCTCGGTCCCTGCAGCATGTGCATGTATGTGTGCGTGTGCGTCTGCATAGACACATCTGTGCGTCACATGTGCACCCAGGTTCTTCGAGGCCCTGGAGCAGCGGCACCAGGCACAGGTGTGTGTGGAGGACATCAGTGACATCCTGGAGGAGCACGCGGAAAGACACTTTCACCCCTACGTGGTCTACTGCTCCAACGAGGTCTACCAGCAGCGCACGCTGCAGAGGCTGATGTGAGTGGCCCTGCTTGCCATTGGCTCCCTGTAGCTGCCAGGCCCCACACAGCTGGACACAGCCACACCCTGTCCCGCAGGAACAGCAACGCCGCCTTCCGCGAGGCCCTGCGGGACATTGAGAAGCGGCCAGCATGCGGGGGGCTGCCCATGATCTCCTTCCTGATCCTGCCCATGCAGCGGGTGACCAGGCTGCCCCTCCTCACCGATGTGAGTTCTAGGGTCCCGGGTGTGGCCACCACCCCCAGGATGGGCAGCCACCTGCGACCTCCTCCAGGCCATGTGTCCCCCTCATGCCATGTGCCACTCAGTTCTGTGGATAGTTCCCGGGTCTTCACTGCCCACTCCCCAGCTGGAAGGAGGCAGCCACAGAAGGGAAGGGGCGGGGCTGCGCCAGCTCCTGTTCCCGCCTGGTTGGCCTAGCCCCTGGGTGTGCAGAGGCTGTCTGGGGGCCATGTGCACAGTGGCCCAGCAGGAACTATCTGGGGACCTCGGCCACCCTCCCCCCCCCGGGCCTGGAATTTTGGGGTCCCCTGCTCCATGCAGGCCTCCAGCAGGGGACTTGGCCCCTCACAGCTGCTGTCTCCTCAGACCCTCTGCCTCAAGTCCCAGGGCCACCCCGAAAGGTACAAGGCCGCCAGCCAAGCCCTGAAGGCCATCAGCAAGGTGAGGTGGGGTCAGGGTGGGGAGGCAGGGTCAGTAGGGAAAGGGATGCCCAGCTCTTCTTGCCCCAGGTTTCTCCCCGAGTTGTTCCTCCTGCCCTGTCCCAGCTTCTGCACCACCCCACCCCATGGCATAGACAGTAGCATAGGAATGGGGAAAATGAGGCCTGGAACCAGTGGTACCCTTGCACAATCAGTGCACCCATGGCAAGGCTGGGACCAAGAGGTCAGACATTGGGGGCAGCCAGGGGCACAGGGAGCAGGGCCACCCCACACCTCATGCCTTAACCCTGCCCATGGTGCTGCTCTGGCCCTGCAGCTGGTGAGGCAGTGTAACGAGGGGGCACACACCATGGAGCGTACGGAGCAGATGTACACGCTGCACACACAGCTGGACTTCAGCAAGGTCAAGGTGGGTGCCTGTGCCCGCCAACACCCCCAGCTGTCCCGGAGGTCGTATCACCCTGCAGGCCTGAGGATGAGACCCTAGGTGCCTTCCCTGGGTGGCTGTGCCTTTGGTCCCTCCCTGCCTTGGTTTCCCCTGTGGGAGAAGCCTCCTCACACACTGCTGTGCCCCAGGCTGATGGTGGACAGGCTGAGGTATGGGGAGGGCCAGCAGGGCTGGCAGGCTGGGTGGGGGTTCAGGGGCCCTGGCTGGGTGATGCCAGGGCTCAGAGCTGGCGGCTGGCAGCTGGAGTCATGGAGCATGCAAGGGGCGCAGGTGGGTACAGCTCAACCGCCAGCCCAGCAGTAGGGCTCTGCCCTCCCTCTCGCCCAGTGCCGACTCCTCTCCACCAACTCAGGGCCTGGCTCTGGGTAGGGGTGTTCTGCCTTTGGTCGGGGCTCAGGACTCTGGCCAACTGAACTTTTGCTGAAGGCCCAGACAGGACTCCCTTGGTGTTCTCCATCCCCAATGGCAGCCACCATTCAGCCAGTTGGGCCCGGGAGACATCGCCACCATCCCTGCCTACCCGCTCCCCGGGCCCTTGTCCACCTGCCCTCTCTGTCTGCAGTCCTTCCCGCTGATCTCTGCCTCCCGCTGGCTGCTGAAGCGAGGGGAGCTCTTCCTGGAGGAAGCTGGGCTTTTTAAGAAAATCGCCAGCCGGCCCACCTGTTACCTGTTCCTGTTCAATGATGTCCTGATCATCACCAAGAAGAAGAGGTGGGCACAAGTGGCCAGCCTCGGGCAGGGGTGCTAGAAGCCGGGAGGGATGGGGAGCAGCCCTGAGCCCCCGCCTGCAGCCGTTGCACATGCAACACAGTGGCTGCATGGCTCCTGCTGGCAGCCCGGGCTCCCTCAGGCCACGGGGACCAGGGAGTGCGAAGCCTCTGTCTCCAGGCACCAGGCCAGGGATGAGCTCTTGGGAGCATGGAGGGGAAGCCTTCTTACCCCTGTGCCCCACAGCGAGGACAGCTACGCAGTGCAGGACTACAGCCAGCTGGACCACATCCAGGTCCAGAAGCTGGAGCCCTCGGAGCCATCTCTGTCTGGGGGTGGCAGCCGCAGCTCCTCCGTGCCCCACCCCTTCCGGGTGACCCTGCTGCGGAACAGTGAGGCCCGCCAGGAACAGGTCCTGCTGTCCTCCGACTCTGCGTAAGAGGGAGGGACCCCAGGTGGGCGGCAGGGCCACACAGCACAGGCTCAGGGAGGGCGGTGGGTGCACCTCCGTCTGTGTCTGGGGCCAAGCCCTGTAAAAGCAGCCTGTCCCCGTGGTGCTTGTGTTCCTACAGGGGACACGGAGTACCTTGTGAATAGCGAGAGGGCGGGAGGGAGGGAGGAAAGGGGGAAAACAGGCACGGGCAGGTGTAGGGAGTTTGGCGGAGAAACCTCATTACCAACCAGGTGCAAGTTAGTTCACCCTGAGGAGGAAGTGAAGCTGTGGGCTCTAGGAGGGTGCTCTGCAGGGGCACAGCCATGCAAAGTTCCTGCGGCAGGGGCCATGGGGCAGCAAGGTGCACGGCAAGGGCTGGAGCACAGGTGCAGGGATGGTGAAGCGGGTTGGGCCAGGTGGGGCACAACAAGAAGAACAGGTACTGGCCCCGGTGGGGCTCTTGGACCCCATGAAAGAGAGGAAGAGGCCTTTCTCATGCTCTCTGGCTCCCAGGAGTGACCGAGCCCGGTGGATCACAGCGCTCACCTACAAGGAGAAGCAGTGGCAGGACCGCACCAACAAAGGAGGTGAGTGTGGTTGCCAGCCCGGGGTGTGTATGTCTGCCTGTGGCCTTGCAACCTGCTCTGGCCTGGGAGGCCTGCCCTGGGCCCGCACAGCTCTGTCCTGCTGTGGCCCACCCAGCCCTCCCCTCACATACCGCCTCTCCCCAGAATTGCCCCAGGTGGAGGTCACCAAGGCCTACATCGCCAAGCAGGCGGATGAGCTCACACTGCAACAGGCCGATGTGGTGCTGGTCAGGGCAGAGGAGGATGGTGAGTGCATGGGCACTGGGGTCCCAGGAGTAGCCCTCAGGGCCTGGGTGTGGCCCGCCTCTCATGGCCCTGGGCTCTGCAGGCTGGCTGCACGGAGAGCGGCTCCGAGATGGCGAGATGGGCTGGTTCCCCGAGGACGTGGCCCGCCGCATCACTAGCCCCGTGGCCGTGGAGGGCAACGTGCGCAGGATGGAGAGGCTGCGCGTGGAGACCAATGTGTAGCGGCAGCAGTTTAAGCCAGCATGGCAGGCACAGCCCTGCTGGTCCAGAGAGTGCAGGAGGAGGAGCACCTACCCTCTGGGAGGGTCCTGGGGCTCTGCTCCCGGCCACCCCACCTCGCCGGGCACCCACAGGCAGCTGCACGAAGCTGGTGGGGACTAGAGACCATGGCAGCCATCCCTGGGACAGTTCAGTGGGGTCTCCCCATGAACTTCCTGCCCCAAGGTGTCGAGAAGGGCCCTCAAGTCCCCAGTAGTGCACACGTTCTGATCTGGGCCACAGGAGGGAGGGGAAGGGACACGCAGGCCAGCAGGGCCACTCGATGTTGAGCTTTTAAGCAACATTAAAGTATTTCTTTAAAATTTGGTTTACCACAGAAAATCTGAGCCCAGGCAAGGCCACAGCCACGTGTGCCCATGAAGTCTCCATGGTGCCACAGGCTGGGACTGGCCCCTGCCTGGCTGCTCGGTGCTTTGCCTTGGCCCACCAGCCAGAGCACTGTGGGCAAAGCCCTGCCTGAGCCACAGCCTGCAAGGCTCCTCTGGGTCACCCTGGAGGTGGCCTCTGTCCCTCCTGCTTCCCCCTCCCAGTAAGGACCAGGGGGACAGGTCTCCACCCCAGGTGGCCTCTGCTGGCCTCCCCAGCTGCCTGTGTGGAGGACCTTGGCCCTTCTTACCTTGATAGTGCTATGGGGGCCCCAAATACATGCTGAAGAATCTGCCCTGGTCCTGGCCCGGCTTCTGAGAATTAGGGGCCTCTTCCCAGGCACAAGCCCCTGGGGCCAGTGCTGAGGTGGTGGGGTGGGCCGGGACCAGGTCTCGCAGGGGCACTGCACCAGCAGGGCCGCTCCTCCCCATCAGCACAAGGGCCATGTGTGGTGCAGCTGGGGCAGGGGTCTGGCCAGTGGCTGCCTCAGAAGGGGCAGAGCCAGCACTCAGGCACAGTCTGGAGTGGGGTGACTGGAGATGGGGCCCAGCCCCTCTGACATGTCCATGGACAGTGGAGCCTTGCTCTCCCCTCTGTGAGCTAGGCTAATCCCCGCTCTTCCCAGGACAATGGGCAGGGCTGCGTTTGATGAGTGTGGTGCACATGTGCTCACGTGCTCCCGTGCCTGTGTCTGGCCGGCAGTGGCCCTGGCATACACCAGCTGGCCTGTTGCTGCCTGCTTCTCAGCCCTGCATGGACGGCCAGGGTCCAAGAGGGGCAGGGTCGTCCAGGAAGGCAGCCCAGCCCCGACCTGGTGCACAGCAGTGAATGCTGTCCCAGCGGTGCCTAGCTGTCCCCAAAGCCTCACGCAATCTGAGGTGGGCTTCTTCAGAGGAGGCCGGGTCTAGAGCGTGTGATCGATTCATGGTGCAGTGCTAGGATCAGGTGTGGTTTGATTGGTTTGCCAGCACCCTAATCCCAACAGCCTGAATACAGTAAAAGGGACAGAAAAAGGCATGTTATGCCCCTTGCTCTCTTGTTGCTTTCATGTCCTCCACCACCATAACCGTTTCCCCTCTGCCCTGCCACTGCCTTGGAGCCAGCTGACCATGGACTGAAACCTCTACACACGGTGAGCTGAATAAACCTCTCTTCCCTTAGCTCTGGGTGCTGGGTATTTTGTCTCAGTAGTGACAGAAAAGTAACAGACAGCTGCAGAGTGCGCTTGGGGAGCCGTGAAGCTGGGGACCTGACAACCCATCCTCACCTGTCACCTGGGGCAGGTAGCGCCTCAGCCTCAAGCAGTTAGCATGGAGCATGGGCAGCAGGGCCAACGGAGAGGCTGCTGGAGGCCACCTGGGCAGACCAGGCACTGGTCGCCAGGGACAGCCCTGAGCGGGCAGTGTCCCCTGCCTGACCCACTGGGGCCCTCCCACCTCCCCAGCTGGGGCGTCCTGCAGTGAGCACATCTCATCTCAGAGGTGCCTCCAGTCTCCATCTGTCCTCTGTGGCCACTGGGGGGCACTTTTCTGCCCCCCACAATAATGGGTTTGCAGCGATGAAGGGGAGGATCCTGCTGCCCCTGTGTGGTTAGACCAGGCTCAGCAAGGCCGTCCAGCTGCGTGACTGGGGCAAGTCCTTGACTGTAAGGACCCTCTTGCTGCAGATAGGAAAACTGAGGCTCAAAGACACTCTACCCATGGTTGGGGTTCGTGGGCTTGCAGGAGCCCATAGAGGCCTCCAATGATATCAGCCAAAGCCAGCGAAGCCAAGCCCTGGGCAGAGCCGGTGGGACCACTGAGGTGCCTGCGGGGCAAAGGCGTGAGGGACTGCAGGAAGGCTTCCCCGGGACACCCGGGAACCTGAGCATCAGCCAGAGCAGCTAGACGGGCTGGGGGCCTTCATCTCTGCAAGCTGAGTACCCAGCCTCGAGTGGTCACTGCCCACCCCACCTTCCACAGAGGCAGCAGCAAGAGGTGCGGGTCAGGGAGCAGTGACGAAGGGCTGGGGTGGCTGGGCAGGGCCAAGGGCTGGTCCTTCAACCTGGGGCTTCGTGGCCACTCCCTGGCCTCGCCCACCCATCCACACCCATGAAGCCATGTCCCTGGGGGTGGGTGTTGCCAAAGGAGCGCTCACAGAGCCTCCTCCTTACTCCTCCCACTCAGCCTGGCTCTGGGATAGCACTGTTCTGCCCATCTGCACTGCCACACAGTGGTGTCTCTCAAGCATCCCCTGTTGGCCAAGAGTGGCACTGCTGGCCAGCCTTTGGGTACCAATGCACAGGAGCCTGGCTGGGGCTGTTCCCCTGGGGCCCCAGCATCCCGGCGCCTCTCCTAGAGCCCACTGGCTGCAGCTTTTGCCCTGTGGGGATAACGCCATACATCATGGCCCCCTCCTGCAGATCTCTGATCCTAGCAAGTCTCCACCCCACCCTTGGCCATTCCAAGGCCTCCTTCTAAGGTCTTTAAAAATCCTTTTGAAGAGTGAAAAGACAGGAATCCCTTTGCCAGTCTCATTCCCAGGTGGGTACGGTTTCCTGACGAGTGTGCGTGGTGTCTCAAACTGTTGTCTAGCTGGTTACAGCTGAGGTTTTTGCCATCTTTATATGTGCTGTATGATTTAGGTGGTTTTACCCCCAGTCTACACATGCCAGGCTCCTGCCACATCTTCACACCACCAGCTTGTTCCTCCTGACAGTGTTGCTGGGGCCACCAATCTCTGCCGGGTGAGGAGGTGACATGACAGTGCAGCTTCCAAACCTAGGTCCAGGTTCGGGGTGCCCAACAGAGCCACAGCCACTGCCTCTGTGGCCCCCAGAACAGCAGCAGGAAGGAGGCAGGAGCCAGGGATGGTCTCAGATGGCAGGGGTGGGACAGCCCTTTGCTCATAATCACCGTCAGCAAGGTTCCCTGTGCCCAGTCACCCAAACACCCAGCCCCAAACAGGCGCTGAACTGCAGTGAACGCTTCCTGCTTCCGGAGTCGCTCCTCCCCCAGCACGCAGGCACATCCTGTGCTCCTGTTACTTCCCAACACCTCTATTTGGACAGCTCACGGTTCACCTAGGATTTCTGCATGCTTGTGAAGGGGGTGCGGGTGGCTTTTCCATCCCCTGGTTTGAGAACTGTTTATGGTGGCCCCATGAAACGAAGTGAGCTGCTTTAGTTTGAAGTTTCTGGATCAAGAGGCATCCGGTAAGTTCGCGGTGTCCCCGAGGGCTGGCAAGACGCTGAGTGACTGGGTGCTGGGGTCGGTGGGGCTGGGCAGAGCAGGTAGACTTGTCACTCCTGGCTGAATTCACTTGAGTTAATACCGTAGTTCTGGCATATTTTTTTTTTATCTTCACTTACACCTATCCTGGCATTTTGTTTCCCCCCAAATTTACCCATCTTCTTTTCAAAGTCATTGGTACATAGTTGCTTATAGTCCTTGTTTTTAATATTGCATCTGTAATTGATTTTTTTCCACTTTATGTTTTTAAATATCATCAGTCAACTAGCTTAGTCTTCAAAGAACGAAATTTTGGTTTTCTCCAATGTTCTAGGGCTGGGGGTGCAGTTTGCCTCATAGCTGCAAGGGCCTAGGTTTCATCCCAGTACCACAAAGAAAAAGTTCATTTTCAACCTTCCTGAGTATACAGTTTACTCACCTAACTATAAATGTGCACATACCAAATGTGCAAATGTTATGGACACAGCATGTGTATTTAAGTTTATTCAGGTTGTGTTATTACTACTGCTTACTCAACCAGTTGGTTTTTGTAGAGCATGAGAACCCCCAGCTGTAATGTATTGATTTCTACCATGAGACCTTCAGTGCTGGGAGTCGGGAGCCCGTCCGGTGTGTGTGTAAATGTGCTCAGTCGTGATGCTCTCACCGTGCAGTACTCCAGTTGCTACCCCAGCTCTCCTTTGGACCTGTTTCTGCCCTTCAGCTGGATCTTCACTGCTCTGGTTCTAATGCACTGCGGGGCCCTCCCTGTAACCAATCACATTAGGGGCTCTAGCCTGTTTCTCCATGTGTTTTACGGCCCTGACTTCCTGCCTTCCATGGTCAGACCCAGATTCCCAGGCCTACACACACCATGGCTCCCAGCGTTCCCACCCCGCCGCCCACCTCAGCACCTCTGCACGCTGCTGTCTTTCACCCAGGACCAGTGACTCCCACTTTCAGCTGCCCCGTCCACTCCCTCACAGTGAGGTCCAGGTGCCCTTGTGGAATAACAGGAATGTTTCGCTTTCATGATCATTAAGGTGCATGGGAAATGTGGTGAATGATGTCTCACAGCTCCCTCCCAGGCCCCTTGCTCTTGTTGCTAAGGAACATTCCCTAGGCCAATTTCAGATGAGACCAGGGGTGGTGGAGAGAGACCTCAGATCACACATGGATGTTTATACACATTGTGACATGTGAGCTGGGCATAAAATTCAGGTTTCAAAATTCTTGGGCATCTTGAGGCCAAATCATCATCATTTTTTGGCTTTCTCCCATCATCCAGGCATGGTGGTGCATGTCTGAAAACCCAGCCTGTGGGAGGCTGAGGCAGGAGGATCACTGCAAGTTCAAGGCCAGCCTGGGCTACATAGAGAGACTCTATCTCAAAAAATAAAATAAAATAGAGCCTCCCATCAGTCTGACCCCTTCCTCTTCCTCCTCTGGCATTTCAGAATTCCTCTGCCACTCTTTGCAGATATTCCTCGTTGAACGACCTACCTGTTCGATGACTGCTCACTCACAACTCGTCTTTTTTTGCTACAGTCTATACATCGTGTTGACAGAGCCTCAACGTCTTCTGTGTACAGCAACTTTGTTTGATTTTTTCTGACTACTGCGCAGTACAGGCCTGGAGTTCTTTTTCCGTCACACACTACAGGGATGCATGTAAGTTTCGGCGAACAACAGCGAAGTCATCAGGCCGGGGCTTCCTCTGACCATGTCTCTGTTCTGACTGTTGTAAGGTGCACGCTGTGTGAACTTCTCAGTTAGTGAGCACTTCGTCTCTGACCTGGTCACAGGGCCAGAGCTCAGTCCTCAGACGAGGACTGCCTGTCCTGAACGCTAGCCTCAGTGGCTTTGTTTCTCTCTGCCCTTGGCGATTTGCTTCCTGTCAGTGGTGTCCTGACTGGGGTCCCATGGAGCTCCCATGGGAGGATGCTGACGTTTCCTCATCCACTCTGATTAGCCTTTCTCTGTGAGCCTTGCGTGGCTCCTGGGACGGTGTCCTTAGCAGCAGTCCCAGCCCCTGGCCGCTCACCCAGGGGTCGCCCCCTTTGCACTCCAGGATCCCAGGTGCCTCGCTCCTGTGTCCCTCGGTCATCTCTGGCCCTCTGCTCCCTTGGAAGGCTCCATGCAGGGGTCTGCAGACTTGGCTCCCACTGCTGCAGGGGCTCTGTATCTGTTCGGGGTGACTGGAACCTTGCTGGAACCCTCTTCCCTTTGCACTACAGGCTGCTGTACCCCGGGGCATCAGCCACCTTGGCTGGGGTTGGAGGGGAGGGGGGACCACAGCCCAGACCTCAGGGACACCTTCTCCAGGTCTCAGGACAGTGTCCTCTGCCACTGTCAGGGTCCCCACTCTCCACCAGCAGACCCACGATCCAGAGATGCGCCCATGATACACCCCAATAGCTCCATGGCCTCCCGTAACCCCTGCAAGGCTGGCTGGAGCTGGGGCTGGGTGGGGAGCTTGCCCTCTGCCCTGCTCACAGCCTGGCCCCTCCCTCCCAGCTGTGCTTCACGGCCATGGGCCCCAGCACCAGCCAGCTGTGTTCTGCATTCAGCAATCCCCTGTAGGTGCCTGGAGACCAGGAGATATCCTGGCACTGCCATGGCTCCTGTCTTGCCCCCCTGGTGAGGGCAGATTCCTGTCCAAAAGCCCCCATGCCCACCGGCCGGGGAGGAGCCCATAGAGTCCACAAAAACAGCACAGACACAGCCACGAGGAAGCTGCCTGCTCCTTTAACCCACGGCACCACACAGACCCTGCACCACCTGCCAAGACTCCTGAGCCTGGTTGACCTGGCCTGGGCTTCCTCAGGAGGGACTGCCTCCAGCTGACCTGGGCTGCAGCGGCACTGCCCATAAATACATTTACATAAATACGGCCAGGCTCACCTCCAGCCAGACAGGCAGCCAGCTGCAGCAGTCCAGACCTAGCACCAGGAGGGCCAGCCCACCCCACCCTGCCCCACCCCTTCCGGTCCCAATCCAGTGCCAGGTAGAGCGGGCTTCCTCAGCACAGCCCAAGGGGCACCACTGCCTGGGCCAGTCCACTCCCAAGGTTCCTCCCAGCAACAGGGTCCTGGCAGCCCAAGAGGCCACACAGCTGTCCACAGGGGCCCATGGCTGTCCACTTCGCTCCAGGGAGGGCTGGGCCTGGGGTCCCGGTCACATGTGTCCTCAGCTGTCACCACAGGCCTGGCTCCCTCGGTGGCACCTGGTGGTCCAGCATCCATGCTGGGGCTCCTGAGTTAGTGCTTGGTTTCCCTCCTGCTGAGCCAGGGTACTGGGCTGTTGGAGGCTGGCTGTGATCCTGAGGCCCAGGAAAGAAGGGTCCAGCAGGGTGATCAGCCATGGGATGCCTCCCCTGCCCTTCAGCATCAAGCCCCATAGGGACAGCCACCACCCCTTCCTCCCCAGCGTGTCCAGCCCCATGCCTGAGGTTCAGGGCAATAAGACATCCAGCACCATAGAGGGCCTCCCTTGACTTGCCCCTCCCAGCAAGTCCGTGGGGCTTTCACCAGCCTCTTACCTGTGCCCTGGGCTGGGGATAAGCTCGCGGGGACCCGAGGGGGCCCACCTGCAGGGGACAGAGCAGCTGTGTTGGAAGCAAGGCCTGACCCCACTGGCGGCTGCAGGCACCAGGTTTAGGGCTGGATGGGGTGGAGCCCAGGCCTTTGGACACCCCTAAGCCCCTCTGCCCATTGGCCCAGCTTCAGAGCACCCAAGCAGTCAAGGCTTCGCCCCCCCCCACACCGCTGCCCCTAGGGTGCGCTATCACACCTGGCCACCGGGTGCCGCTGTGAACAACGTAATGCGCCCAAGTTCCGCCCAGCTGGCTTTGGCCTCTCCCCTTGGTCCCACCTGGCTGAGGGCTCCACCCCCACCTCCACCCTGTTTAGGGCTCTTCACAGTTTGCAAGCAAGTGTGTCTTGGGGGTGCTCAAAACAACGCCCAAACATACGATATCCGGCTCACATGGGCTGGAATCCCGGCTACACTAGCCGGCACAGCCTCTGGGCTGATTCCCTCTGCTGTCCTCCCATCCCACTGGGCCTGCAGAGCCGCCCTGGGGAAACCCTGAGGACTGCACTGGCCAGAGTGGGGCGGGCAGTTCAAGCCCCACTGCAGCTGGGGGCTCCTAGCAACGCCCCAGGGGCTCATGACACCTCCCCACCCACCAGCACACACTCCTAGGACACACACTGGCGCACACAGGTGAACCACTCACAGGCACACATGTGGGCGGGCGGGCAAGGAGGGTCCCCAGCTGCCCACACTGGGGTCACCCAGTGCTGCCCATGGCCTGGGTTTGTCTTTGGGCTCCCGCTGTGGTGTGCAGCCCACCTGGGCAGCTGCGTGGGCTGAACCCCGCCTTGTCAGTGGCATCAGGGCCCCTGTCCTAGGGGGAGCTGCTGGGTGGCTCACACCCTTCTGGAAGCCGTGTGGACGCTGGGTCCTGGGCAGGGAGGGCCAGTTCTCTGGCTGGCCCAGTTCAGCCCACCCAGTGGTGTTGGGGGCAATGGATGGGCCCTCGGCGGGGTTGTGGGCACTGTGTTCCCGCCCCTCTCCAGGAGGGCCTCACTCACCCTCCTGGCACGTGGGCCCCATGTAGCCGTCCACACAGTGGCACTGCCCACTGATGGGGTTGCAGTCAGCTCCACCTCCACAGTCACAGCGCAGGGCACAGCCCGGCCCAAAGTGGCTCCCTCTGCAGGCTGCAGGGTGGGAGGTGGGGAGCTGTTCTACTCCAGGGCTGGGTGGTGAGGGGTGGGAGCAGCCCCCTTGGGCCCCTAGGGGATGTCGCACTCACTCAGGTCACACATGGCTCCCATGTGCCCCGGTGGGCAGAGGCAGAGGCCACTGGTGGGGTCACAGGGCAACCCTTCACCGCAGTCACAGCGCTGGCGGCAGCCTTCTCCAAAGGATCCCGGCTCACACCCTGGTGGGGCAGTAGTCTCAGCATCCCCCAATCTGCCCGGGCTGGCAGGGCAGTGCAAGACACTCACCATTCTCACAGAGCTGTCCACGGAGGCCCGCAGGACAGAGGCACTGGCCACCGATGGGGTCACAGGGGGCTCCCCCTTGGCACTCACAGGCCTGCTCGCAGCCCATGCCGTGGAAGCCAGGAGGACAGGCTGCGGGGGGGGCCTGGTTAGAGCTGCCAAGGGCAACAGGCAGCAGGACCCTCAGTCTGCCCAGGGTGAGCAAAGGATGACAACTTGGGGATTGAGAGAAGCCCCTTGTGCTGCCCCCCTTGACCCCAGATTGTGGGTCCCATCATGGCCCCCTGGGGCTTCCAGGGAAAAAAGGGGACATCTGGTGCATGACAGGCTCCAGGGTTTCCCACGTGACACCATGTGGGGGCCTCTGGCCTTGGAGTCCCCACCTTGAGGAGGAGTCACCCCTTCTTGGGGGGCCCCTGTGAGCCAGGACTGGGAAAGTGGCCATGGCTGTGGTGGAGTCGGGGCCCACAGGGGAAGGGGCAGGACACAGCCCACAACTCACGGTGCTCGCAGGCCGGGCCGTAGAACCCTGGGCCGCAGCGGCAAGCGCCCGTGGTGGGCTCGCAGGTGCCATTGTTGTGACATGGGCACTCTAGGTGGCAGGCGGCACCATAGCGCCCTGGGGGACAGGCTGGGGAGGGCACAGGGAAGTTGGCCTTGAGCACTGCCCACCCAGCACTCCCCTGCCTGCCTGGCACACAGCACGCTGCAGCCACTCACCCAGCTCACAGTGTGGCCCTGTCCAGCCCAGGCCACAGGAGCAGCTGCCAGTGGCAGCGTGGCACAGGCCTCCGTTCCTGCAGGTGCACTGGTGCTTGCAGCCCATGCCGAACCGGCCTGGGGCACAGCCTGCAGGCAGAAGATGGGCACTGCTTGGGGCTGAGACCAGGACTGGATACCCTTGGTGGTCACAGCTCTGCACCCTGATTTCATCTAGCAGACACTCCCGAGTATCCCAGAGCCACCTGGCAATACTTGAGGCCAGGGCCTCAAGGTCACGTGAAGCTGCCCAGCCTGCGCAGAGGGGTTGGGAAGCTTTCTGAGGGGGTGGCACCCTGTACAGCACCCGTAGATGGGAGCCAGGCCCCACCCGGCCTGAGCAGTGGCATGGTTGGCTGTGGATGTGGAGTTGGGCCCGGTGGCCCCTTGTGTAACCTGACGCACCCCTGACAATGGCTGGTGTCCTTCCTGGATGTGGTACAGGACTAGGCTGTGCCTGACTCTTGGCCACACAGGCTCCAGAGGCCGAGGCGGTGCTTCAGGTGCTTGGAATGGGCTCAAGGAGGACTGAGGTCACCAGGCAGGGGCAGGGTGTGGCAGGACAGTCTCTCCACCCTACCAGAGAGCGATGTCCACGCAGCCCAGGTCCCCTGGGGAACCCACAGTGGTCGTGGTGTGGACGTGCCCCCTGGGAACGGTTCTTCCTGTCACTGAGTGACGTCGGCACAGCATCCACACACCCCACCCGGCACCCTGGCAGCCACTCACCGTACTCACAGTGGACGCCAGTTCTCCCGGGAGGGCAGGCACAAGTGCCGGTCACAGGGTCACAGGCTGCCCCCTGTCCACATCTGCACACGCGGGCACAGTTGGGGCCATAGCGGCCCTGTGGACAGGCTGCAGGGAGGGGACAGGATGGGCAGTCCCCATGCCCACACGGGCACAGTGTGGGCCATAGCGGCCCTGTGGACAGGCTGCAGGGAGGGGACAGGATGGGCTGGGCCGGGCAGAGGACCCATGTCTGCCCCGGTAAGGTGGAGCATCCAGTTCCGGCCCTTCTCCCTCCACCTGCTCCCTGGGCCTGCACAGAGGATGGGCTGCCCCGGTAAGGTGGAGCATCCAGTTCCGGCCCTTCTCCCTCCACCTGCTCCCTGGGCCTGCTTTGCGGGGAACCCCCACCCCCACCCGAGCTCTGCAGCCCAGAAGGGGAGGCCCACAGGGTTCAGGACAAAGGACACAGCCAGGGACAGGACAGGCACAGCATGGGGGCTCAGGTCACACTGACCCAGGGACCTGTCCCTCCCTGCTTAGCTCCAGGCCCAGCAAGAGGGTGACAGAGGGCCAGGGAGGAGCAGGCAGGGCAGGAGGAGGAGCCCACAGGCCGCCCACCACTCACAGAGGCTGCAGTCAGGCCCAAGGAAGCCGGTGGGGCAGTGGCAGGCCCCTGTAGCCACATCACAGGAGCCCCCATTGAGGCACCGGCACAGCTGCTCACAGCCTGGCCCATAGCGCCCCAGCGGGCATCCTGTGGGGAGAGGGCCACTTGTCTGTGCCCTGCTTCCCACCCCCATAGCCTTCTGGGTGCTGGAGGCTGGGGCAGCACTCACGTTGCAGGCAAGCAGAGCCCTGGTAGCCGGCAGCACAGGTGCAGGTCCCCGTGGCTGGGTGGCAGACCCAGTTCTGGCCAGGACACTGGCACAGCTGCCCACAGCCCTCTCCAAAGGTGCCAGGAGGGCAGGCTGGATTGGGGAGGGTGGTCAGGCCCGGGCCAGCCTTGGGGATGGATAGCACCCCATCTCCAGCTGGCCCCTAACACCTACCCTGCTCACAGCCCAGCCCAGTGAGGCCCGGCGGACAGTGGCACTCCCCAGTGACGTGGTGACAGGAGGCCCCTGGCGGGCAGAGGCAGCGCCGGGCACAGGCATCTCCAAACCAACCACGCTGGCAGGCTGTGGGGATGAGGGCCATAGCCGTGGGGGGGGTGCCAGGGGGCATGGGCTGGGGACACTCCCTGGAGGGGCCTGGGACCCGAACCTGCTGTGAGGTGATGACCCTCCCCTGCCCGGCAGGTGTCCCCAGCTGGCCCCACGTCCTGGGCTCACCTTCCTCGCACCGTGAGCCCCTCCATCCGGGAGGACAGAGGCAGGCCCCCGTGACATGGTGGCATGTGGCTCCCCGCCGGCAGGCACAGCGCTCCTTGCAGTGAGCCCCAAATGTACCCTTGGGACAGGCTGCCAATGCCAAAGGGACAAGACCGACAGGAGGCTGCACCCCAGGGCCTCAGGGCCCTGACCATGGAGTGCAGGAGCAGAGGTGGGGACCCAGACAGAGTCCAGGCCTCTTCCCAGCTCCCCAAGGCCTGCCTGGGCTGCCCAGAGGGGCTGGCGTCCTGGGAGAGGTGGCCAGCAGGAGGCCTGGGAGCCGGGGCTGAGGACCCACAGTCCACCCTGATACCATTCGTCTGACTGAACGGGCTCATGCTGGCTGGGGAAGGGCCTCAGGCACAGGGCCCAGCGGACACAGGCTTTAGACCAAGGTGAAAATGACCCTCTCTGGAGGTCTGCCCCAGCACATCTCACGCCGCCCTTGGGGGCAGACCCTGCCGGGGGACACCGGCAGCTCAAGGAGCAACCCCATCTCCTTCCCACATCTGTGCACCCGGGCCCCTCACTCACAGCTCTGGCACTGGTCCCCTGTCCAGCCAGCTGGGCACAGGCAGCGGCCAGTGTGTGGGTCGCAGAGGCCCCCATGGAGGCAGCCACAGCTGAGCCGGCAGCCAGCCCCATAGCGTCCTGGGAGGCACTCTGCAGGGGCGGGGGGGTGAGCATCCACCTGTGGGCCCAGGCCCCTGTGCCCATAGGACCCACCCTGGAAGGCCGCGCCCCAGCCCCTGGCAGTCCACCTGGGCCACCGGCGCTCACCATTTTCACAGGCCAGCCCAGTCCAGCCCTCTGGGCACACACAGTGGCCTGTGGTGGGGTCACAGCGCCCTCCGTTCCGGCAGAGACAGGAGTGTTGACAGTTCTGGCCGTACAGGCCAGTGGGGCAGGCTGGGCAGGAGGGAGCGACCTGGGACATCTGCAGGCCCCATGAAGCCCGGCGCCAGCTTTGGGGTTGGGGACTTTGCCTGGGCTGCTGCACAGTGCCCGAGCCCAGGCCCACCCTGGCCCCACCAACCCCAACAGCCAGGATCCCGTCCTAAGCACCCCTCCCACTTCCCCCAGGGTTCCTAGCACCTCCCACCAGCTGATGCACCCCACTCTCAGGTGACTGCACCGGGGCCCTGCAGGAGACAAGCCTTACCCTGAAGACAGGCAGGCCCCATCCATCCAGGTGCACAGTGGCACTGCCCATGGACAGGGTCACAGGAGGCCCCGTTGGAGCAGGCGCAGACCTGGCTACAGTTGAGGCCGTAGGTGAGGGTTGGGCAGGCTGCAAGGGAAGGGTGGTCAGAGGCTGAGGCAGGAGGGTTCCTGGAGGAGCTGCAGTGGGCCATCTTGGACAGCTGGGACCACTTCCCCTCCCTCTGGCCTGGCCACCCTCTTGACAGAGCAGCCACATGAAAGGACAGGCACACAGATCCTTGTGGGCCAAACTCTGCTCTGGGAATATCCAGGACAGGGTCACAGGTGTCCTGAGGCGGCCCCAGCCCTTCACACACCCTGGGTACAGTGGCGGCCCCAGCGGCCAGCAGGGCAGATGCAGGAGCCAGTCACAGCATCGCAGGGGGCCCCAGCAGAGCAGTTACAGGCACCGTTGCAGTCCACACCGAAGAAGCCAGCTGGGCAGGCTGCGGGCAAGGGTGGTGTTGAGGAGGGGCCCAGGATGGGGACTACCCGCATCCCAGCCCAGCCCTACCTACCAAGCTCACAGAAGCTGCCCCTCCAGCCGGGTGGGCAGGTGCAGGCCCCGCTGACGTGGTCACAGGCTGCCCCATGCTCACACTGGCACCGCCGCCCACAGCTGGGCCCGAAGTAGCCCTGGGGACACTCTGAGACCCATGGCCCCGGCCCGCTGTCAGCAAGGGCCTGGGCCTGACCAGGGCCTGACGATGGGGAGTAAGGCCTAGATCACGAAGAAGCCTCTCCTTGCACATGCACCGCCCCCAGCCAGAGCTCCATGAGAACCCCAGGCATCACCTCTAGGAACTGGGGTCTCCTTGTCCCCCTACCCTGGTTTGGGGGACACATGGTCCATGCCACCTTCCTACCCTCCCGGGGCGAGTGGGGTGGGACAGGACATGCCTCTCCTGCCTGCTGCTCCAGGTGGGCCTCCTGTGTGACAGCCAGTGGGTGGGCAGCAGGCAAGGTCAGGTGGGCACAGGGCAGGTATGTGCAAGCGAGTGCGTGTGTGTGAGAACTGTGGATGCAGGTGTGTGTGCGTGTGTGTGCATGTGAGAACCATGGACACAGGTGTGTGCAAAGGCTGTGCACATGTGTGTGTGCCCCTGAGCATGGACATGCCTGTGTGCACATGGGGCAGGGGTGACACAGCCCAGCGCCGGACTCACGCTGCTCACACCAAGGTCCCACGTAGCCAGCCTCACACAGGCACAGCCCACTGGTAGCGTCACAGCTCCCATGGCCCACGCTGCAGTTGCAGGGGTGGCTGCAGTCGGGGCCCCAGTGCCCACCGTCACAGGCTGTAAGAGCCAGGGTGGAGCTGTGGAGCCCAGCCTGGGGTGTGGGGGCAGCTCAGGGCAGGACTTCGAGGGCTCCATACCTCTCTGGCAGCTGAGGCCGGTCCACCCAGGGGCACAGCTGCAGCGTCCAGTGGCCGGGTGGCAGTGCCCATCATTGGCACAGGAGCACCTCATCTGGCAGCCAGGCCCAAACCAGCCTGCTGGACAAGCTGTGGGCGAGCAGTGAGCCTGACAGCCTGGCACCCCCCACCCACCCCCAAGCCACAAGGGAGCCGGATTGGGGCCACACTCACCATCCTGGCAGCGGCTGCCAATGAAGCCGGGGAGACACAGGCAGGCTCCGGTCTTGGGGTCACAGCGGCCACCATGGTCACACATAGGGCAGATCTCCTGGCAGCCCAGCCCCCAGTGGCCCTCGGGACAGTCTACCCCCCACCCCCAGCCAGTCTTTACTCTGGCCAAGGTGGGTGTGTCTAAAAACGCATGCCTGCCATAGCACCTAACCCCTGTGCCACACCCAGGAGGGGACCTGCAGTTCCCATCAGGCCGCCCCAGCCCCTCTACCCTCAGGAGAGAAGTCCCAGTCCCAGAGATGGCCCAATGGAGTCTGTGGAGGTGCAAGAGGACCCTATGTAGGGAGCAGGGAGCCCAAGAGGGAATCAGCCAGCATCCCCCCTGTGCTCAAGTTGGGTCCAGTGTGAGCTCTCAGAGCTGTAGCAGCCTGGAACTGCAGCGCCAGGCCCAGGGGTCCACACATGTAGCGGGGCTGCAGTATCCAAATGTAGCCCAGGGCGGCCCCACCTTAAGTCACGTGGCTGAGGGAGGAGGGGTTGTGCAAGGTCCTGACGCTACTCACCTGCCCCACAGTCCTCCCCTGTCTTCCCTGGCGGGCACAGGCACTGCCCCAAGGCTGGGTGGCAGGGTGCCCCCCCACAGGAGCAGGACCCTGAGCAGTTCATGCCAAATGTTCCCGCTGGGCACTCTGCAGAAGAAGCAGGAGGGACCTCAGCCAAGGCAAGTGGGGCTGAGCTGCTTGGAGCCCTGCCCAGGGTCCTGGCAACCGTGCTCTGGGGCTAGACACCACCCCAGATCCTGGAGGGGCTGCCAGACAGTGAGGGCTCCAAGGGGACAACGCTGTGAGAGGCAGGGCGGGTGCGGGAAGGCGGAGCAGCCCCTCCCAGCTCGAGCCGTCCAGCACCCTGGAGAGCTCCCCACTTCCTTCAGCCCCATCCTGGTCTTCCACAGGGACCTCCACGGGTGAGGCCAGTGTCCCTCAACCAGGAGGTGCAAGTCCAGCCCCCACCCCATGCTCCTCACCAGCTGGAGCCCTCCAACTGCCCCAGGGGCTGGGAGAGGTTGCATCTGGCCTGTGCCCAGGAGCTATGCCTTTGCCAGCAGGGTGGGAGCGCTCAGAGTGGGCTCTGGAGACCTGGGTCCCCCTCACCCACAGCTCTGTGACACCAGGGAGAGCAGTGACCCAAGAGTCCTGTGTTGTGGGCAGGACTGGCCTGGCGCTCAGGTTCACAGCAGGGCCTCAGGAGATGTGTGGGAGCTGAGCAGCCTGCTTGGCCCCAGCAGAGACTGCTTCATGCAGCCCATACCCACTTTGCCCTCAGGACCCAGCCCAGCCTCCCTGCCCCAGGACCACAGAGCCTGAGGCTGGGCAGTGTCATTTGCTGTGCCCACCCTGAGGGCCCAGGAGGCTTTCAACCAAAATAGGAAAGAATGAAAGAAAATGCAGGGGTTGGGGATAAGGCAGGGCCCCTCCTCCTCCTCAGAGGTGGGACAGTGGACCCTGGGCACTGCTGAGCATGGCCTGAGGACATGGGCAGGCCACCTCTGGGGCAGGGACCCTTTGTCACTGTGACCAGGGCAGCATGAGACAGCTGGCTGGAGTGCACTCGGCCCTCCCTCTGCCCAGGCTGGTGGTGCTAGAATGAGGGGAAGAGACCCCTCTCCTGCAGCCCCTTGCCAGCCCTGATGGCCATGCTGGTCACACTGCAGGCCCTCGGTGCCCATTGTCTGAGCCAGCAGTGTAGACAGCAGGAGCCATGCCCAGGTGGCCACCCTGTCACATGTGTCCAGGACCTCTTTCTCCTGCAGGCCCCACATACCCTGTTGTCTCCTCTCTGGCTTGAGAGGCTGGGGGTAGCTAAGCATCCCCGTCCCACAGCTCCATGCTGCATGGGTTGTCAGTACAGGCTGAGGGGCCCAGGACATTTTCTCCAGGCAGGTGGTAGCTACCGCATCCCCAAAGGTGGGTTTGCGAAGTAGCCAGGACTCCCAGGGACCAATGTCATGGGTCCGCAAGGCTCCTCTATAATTGGGCACCAGTGTGGGGCCACTGGCCCCTGGCCGTGCAAGCACTGCTGGGGCCCGCCCTGACCGTGGGGTGCCAGGGCCCTCCCTTACCTTGACCACAGTCCGGGCCCTGGTAGCCAGGGGGACACTGGTCCCGACACTCCCCACTCACAGGGTCACAGGCCACACCCAGCGGACAGCTGCACACATGCTGGCACCTGGGCCCGAAGAAGCCTGGCTCGCACTCTGCGAGGTGAGAGGGGCATGAGGGCCAGCTGGGCACTGTGCCCTACCCCAACCCCACACCAGCACGCACCTGCCTGGCACCGCTCGCCCCGAAAGCCAGGCTTGCAGAAGCAGCTGCCGTCCCTCCGGTCACAGGACTGGGTGTGGGGCTGCTTGCAGCGGCACTCCTCGGCACAGCCCGGCCCGAAGGCCCAGGGTGGGCAGGCTGCACCCAGAGAAGTGAGCAGGTGCCCGCAGGCCCGCCCAACCTGCCCGTGAGCCAGGATCACGGCGACACCGTGTGCTGCCACTCCTGGGCTTGCTCTGGGGGCCAGGGTACCTCACCCCACCCAGAGGCTGATGGCTGTGCCCCTTTAGCAGCAGTGTGAGGAGCCATCTCCATCTGTCTGTCTCTACCCAGCCACCCCGCTTCCCCTCCAGTGACTGGACCCTGAGGATGGGTGACCTGGAGGGGGCGAGGGTCAGGAATCTGCAATGCCATGATCCCAAGCCTCGGGAGCTCCCTGCTCCATCCTGCTGCCTACCACTTCCCAGTCAGGGCTGAGGACCAGATCCCCAGAGGCTACACCATGACTGTAGAGAAAGGGGCTTGGGCTCCACAGCCCAGGGCCGGTGGCCGAATCGCAGCCCGGGCTGTGGGCATGAGTGCACCCAGCACCATCAGGACCCCGCCTCCTCCACGGTCACTTTAGACACCGTGGGGCAGCAGGACTCACCGAGATGGCAGAAGCGTCCGTAGAGCCCTGGGTCACAGAGGCAGGCCCCGTATAGGCGGTGGCAGCGGCCCCGGTTGGCACAGTGGCATTTCTTGTGACAGTGTTTGCCGTAGAAGCCCTTGGGGCAACCTGGGGAAGGGGCCCAGTGAGACTAGAGGAGATGGACTGGCCACCAGGCACAGCCCAGCATGGCGCCTGGAGCAGCCCCTTGGGGCCTCTGAGCCTCTGGAACGAGCCCTCTGGCCAGGCTGGCCACAGCAAACCGGGCACACTGGAGGGGGCACAGAGCCCTCACCCAGGGCCCCAGCATCTGACCCACATCTGACCTCCATCCCATAGTGGTCACCAAGCTTGACATTCCTGTCTCAAAGCAGGAAGGCCACAGGCCCCGAATGGCCACAGGCTCTGCATGGCCAGTCCCTGGGCTGAGCCTCGGAGACCCAAGGGCAGTGCCATCCCCCAAACATGTCCTTCTGTGCCCGACCTGCCTGTGTCCCTCTCCTGCTCTCGGGCTGTAGCAGGAACCCCAAAGCTATGCCCCTACCCTAATCCCCAGCTCTCCAGTTGAGGTCACCCTGCATGGCCAGGTGGATCCCACATCACATCAGATGCAGAGGCAGGAAGCGAGACACAGCGAGGGAGGCAGAGGGGCTTGGCTATGTACAGCCACAGGCAGAAGCTGAGAGACACCACCATGGACTGGGGACGCCCAGCACCAGCAACCAGCCTGCTGGCATATTTGGTGACTGGAGACCTGTTGGGAGCTAGGCACCCAGATGCAAACCCTTTTCTGCCCGCTATCCCTGTCCACATGACCTGCCACAGCCACGGCTCTGCCAGGCAGGCTTCCAGGGCCTTGGAGCCCACTGCGCCCTCCCTCATTGCAGCGAAAGGGTCTCACACACTGGCCACTCCCCCAGGCACGGTCAGGCTCAGCGCATCCAGTTTCCACCTCCTAGAGCTGAGTTCTGGAAGGCAACCCTGGAGAACCAGTGCAGGTCCCGCTAAAGGGCCACTGCTGCTCCCACTGCCCACCCTCTCCTCCCTGGGCGATTCCTTCCAACTACCACACGCACCATCCTCACAGTGGGCACCACTGACACCCGGAGGGCAGTGGCAGGTCCCGATCACCGGGTCACAGGTCCCGCCATTTTGGCAGCTGCAGGGGGAGCTGCAGTTCTTCCCAAAGGTGTCTGGAGGACAAGCTGCAGGGGTGACAGGGACCACCAGGGTCACCAGCCAGCAGGACCCACTCAGAAGCAATGAACAATGATAACACCAGTGTCCTGAGACCCCAGCCACATCTGACAGACATCATCCGTCACCACATCCTCCCCTCTGCTTTCTAGAAGGTGGCCAGCTGCTCCTCTCCTCTGCCCCTCAGAAGTGTTGTACACCCCAACTGCCTGGCCTTTGTAGATGCCCTGATGTTCAAGATGTTTGTTGCTGCTGGACCCTGCCTCAGACTGACCTCAGCTTGCCTTCTCCCCGGGAATCCCATCAACCAGAACTGTGCCCAGCACAGGTGGACAGGCAGGGGACAGCTGTCATTCACTGGCCACACTGACCTGGCTGCTCACAAGTCCCAGGACTCAGGCCCTGCCCAGTGCCCCGCCAGCACCCCTGGATCCCCCCAGCCAGGGGCCTCACTCTCATTGCAGATGAGCCCAGTCCAGCCTTCCGGGCAGTCACAGCCCTCTAGTCCTGGGAGGCAGTTCCCGCCATTCCTGCAGTCGTCACAGGTCAAGCTGCAGTCGTGGCCGAAGGAGTCATCCAGGCAGACTGAGGGCAGATGGGAGGGACAGCAGATCAGACCCTAGCCTCAGGCCCTGGGGCCAGGGAAGAGGACACGAGAGACATCCTCAGTGCTTAGGGTCCCACAAGGGCGGAAGTGGACACAGGACCCAGATGCCGAGGCCAGGAAGAGCCCCAACCCAGGAGTGGGGCCTGAGTTAGTTGGGAGCTTGCTGTGTGAGTGGCTTGGCCTCTCTGGGTCAGGGTGGGGGTCCTTCCTCATGCCCAAGGCCACAGGATGGTCAGCAGCATGGCTGTAGCCGAGCCTGGACTGGGCCCACCACTCACCAAACTTCTCTGTGAGCCTGAATTCTCCCCGCAACTCTGCCTCCTCTTCCTCCTCCTCGGCCCCAGAGTCCTCCTGGAAGAGCTGTGTCAGATCATCCCGCAGCACTGCAATGTGGGGCAGGGGCCGCTCAAAGGGCAGCTGCCCATCCAGCTCCAGTGCAGGCTCCTCCAGAGCTGTGAGGGACAAAGAGCCCTGAGCCCTGGCTTCTGCTTTCCCCAGGCCAGGTAGGAGCTGGACCCCTCCATGACACTTTGCCCTGGAGACACTCGTGGCACAGCTCCCACCCTGCACCCTGCGGTCCCCACCCCTCAGCACAGGCCAGGACCCACAGGGCCCACACAGGCTCGGGGACAGCCCTGGAGCTGATGGGGGTGCCCGGGCAGCAGGGCTCACGGGTGCAGCCCCTGCGGTCCTCTTCCAGTCGAAAGCCGGGCTCGCAGGAGCACTGGAAGGAGCCGGCCAGGTTGGTGCAGCGGTGCTCGCAGCCGCCTCGGCTGGAGGTGCACTCATCCACATCTGCGGGCAAACGGGGCTGCAGGTCAGGGCTGGGCCCCACTGCCTGGCTCCCTGGCGGGCAGAGTGTGGGTCTGGGGCAGACACCACCCCACCACAGCGGCCTCCCCTGCTACCAGGGCTCCCTTCACATCCTCCCGAGCCCTTGGCCACGCCCCAGGGACAGACACTCACCCTCACAGCCGCAGCCATCGGTGCTGAGCCGGTAGCCAGCATAGCAGCCACACTCATACCCCCCAGGGGTATTGGCACACACCTGCTGGCAGCATGGGGCGTCGGCACAGTCATCCACGTCTGTGGGGTACACAGCAGGAGCCCCCTTGTGCCTGGCGCCCTCGATGCCCCACAGCCAACAGCCCCCCATGCGTGTGCTGCATGTGCACACACACACCTACACACACCTGCACACACTCACATCCAGTTACAGGCACACAAGCACGCCCTTGCAGCCACACACAGAGGGCTTGGCACAGCCTGGGGCCGGCAGATGGGGCCAAAGGGGTGTGAGTGAGGCTGGCAGCAGATTCGAGGATCCAGGCCTCTCAGGGTGGCTGTGCTGCCTCTCACCAGGCTCCCCAGCTCGGGCCACCCCTCCCCCAGGACTCCGCTGAGGGTGCATCCTGGCCACCAGGCAGGAACCTGCAGGGCATGGCAGGTAAGCCCAGGCTCGCACCAACGCAGGTCTTCTGGTCCTGGTCCAGCTGGTAGCCACGGGGGCAGGTGCACAGGGGTCCCACACTGCTGTGCCTGCAGCCATGGGAGCAGCCTCCATTGCCCACCTCACAGCTGTTCACAATCTCCATCTCGATACCTGGCAGAGACGGGGCATCTGGGATGTGCAGTGGGGTCTGGGCCCCCTTCCTGCCCCTGCCTCCTGCTCATGCCCAGGGCTGCCCAAGGGACCCAAAAACCTGGCCAAGGAAGCCCGTCACCCACTGCTCACCGCCCACTCACGGTAGCACTGACGGACATCTGCACCCAGCTCATAGCCTGCTCGGCACACACACTTGAAGGACCCCTGTGTGTTGAGGCAGCCGTGGGCACACTGCGCCAGGCCTGTGGCACACTCATCCACATCTGGAGGGAGAGATGCTTAAGGTCAGGGCGCAGGAGGAGCACAAGGAGAAAGCACACAGGGCTAATGCCAGGGTGCCACCTGGGCATGGCATGGTTGGTCCCGACAGGAGCTGCTCCCCATGCCAGGGTCCTGAGGATGAAGCTGGCCCTTTTGGGGCTTCAAGCCAAGCCCTCAGAGGGACAGGCACCATTCCCACTAGCAATCTGCCTGGTGCCATGTGCTTGGGGTCTCAGCTTCTACAGCCTGTAGCCACCCCAGCAACCCCAGGACACCTTGGACCCTGACTGGACCTGGGAGGCCCCCCAACCCTGAGGCTGCTCATCCTAGCCCTATGTGGGAAAGACGGGGACACCCAAGTGCCCAGGGGTCACGGGGCCACTTGGCAGGTGATGGAGGAAGCAATGCCCAGAACAGCATTAGGCACAGAGCCCGGGAGAGGTGGGCAGTGGGACTGTGCCTTCTTCCTGCTCAGCTCTGCTGCTGCAAGCTCGTGAACAGGTGGGAAGCCTGAGCTCTCTCCCAGCCCTGCTGAGAGGACCTTTGGCTGAAGACAGCGTCTATGTGGGCCCCATCTCTACCTTCCACCCACCACCAGGGAACTGGGACCCAGCACCAACCCGGGTGGTGGGACGGGCTGCCCGGATCCCACAGATGCAGGCAGGGGGGTGGTGGTGTTGGTTTTCCCACCTTCGCAGGCTTTGTGGTCTTCAGCCAACCGGAAGCCTGCATGGCATCCACACTGGACCAGGCCCTGGAGCTCCTGGCACGTGTGTTTGCAGCCGCCATTCCCTTCCGCACACGAGCTTCTCCCTGCAGCTCAGGTCCCAGCAACCAGCAATGGAGGCAAAGGAAGAGGTCAGGGCGAGTGGAGAGGGAGACGTGGTCAGGCTCAGAACACTGGCCACAGTGGGCGCCACCTCTCTCCTTGCCCAGCCTGGATAGGGTCTCCTCCCCAGACATGGGAAGCCCAGGGGACACTTAAGGAGACCCACAGCCTGGGGACAGTCAGGTTCCCTCTTGGACCCAGGAGGGCCATGGCTCCCCGGTAATTCACAGAACGGGAAGGAAGGCCCAGCTGCACCAGGGTATCTGTAGAGAGGTGGCTGTGCCCCCAGCCCTGTGACCTATGCCATTCCAACCCCATAACTGGCTTCAGTCCCCCACACCCACACTCAAGCCTGTCCTGCGTCAGACTGGGATAGGTGGGGGGAGGCGCTCTCCCAGCCCCTGTGCACCCCATGTCCACATCTGGGGGTTCTGATTCTACCAAGCCCCCCTCACTGTAGGCAGTGCCAAGGCCCTGATCAATGCCCAATGGGGCCCAGCTGCCTCCTGTGCTTGTGGCATCTGGGGTCACCTGTGGAACAGAGGCCACACCCACACCCTGAGCTTCCTGTCCTTGGGCTGTGCAACCCGGAGCACAGCCCCCCACCAGGCCCTGTGCAGCTCAGACTCAAGCCGAGCCTGCCCCCAGCCCCTGGGAGGCAGCACTCACGGACACAGCGCCGACCATCCTCATGGAGCTGGAACCCGGGCTGGCACTGGCAGCGGTGCCGTGTGGTGGTGAGCTGCACACACTGGTGCTGGCAGCCGCCATTGCCCAGGGTGCAGGAGTTGACAGCTAGAGACAGAGAGGAGCCAGGTCAGCCACCTCCCACAGGAGGCTCCACTGCCTTCCATCTCTGTCCCCTCGCCTGGCTCTGTTTTCTCAGCTACCCATAGGTCCCCAGCATGGTGGCCATCGCTCTGCACCCTCCAGCCCCAGGCCAACAGAGGGCAGGACATAGAGACACTAGGGACTGTGCCACCTCAACACAAGTCCAACACCCCCAGGGCATAATGCAAAGCAAAGGGGCCCCAAGAAGCCTGAGAGAGAGGGTCTGGCACCCGTGTGCTCGGCACGTGCCTGGCAGAGGTGGCCGAGGCCCATCCTACCATCCTGGTCCTCAGACCAGGGCAGAAGGGCAGAGAGAGGGCTACAGGGGACAGCCATTATGGCCTGCATACCTGGCCTCCAGCTCCCCAGGAATCACAGCACCTGCCTCCACCTTAGGCTGCCACGCCTTCCATCTGACCACAGTGCCCACTCTTCTGGTGGCCACGGGGACAACACTGGCCAGGCCTCGAGGGACAGCCAGCCTCCTTGCCTTTCATGCTCACACCCCTGTGGGGCACAGGCTCTGTAAGGGCAGGGTGGCCTAGTAGGTGCCATCCGAGGGAGGCAGGGATATGGGTGTGGGCTAGGCCAGGTGCCCAGGGTGGGCACTGCGTCTCCCAGAAGGAGCAGCCAGAATTCAGCATAGATTTGGTTACGATCAAGTCTCCAGGCATGGACTTGTGGCTGGGGAGCTGCACAAAGCCCAGAGAGGAAGCCACAAGAATGTGCTGCTGTCCTGCCCAGGGAGCTTGGGCTGTCTGCCTGCAGGCCTGAGCCCTGTTACCTAAGCCCTGTGGCTGTGGGGATCCAGCTTCACCCCAAGATGCTGCCTGTGGAAGAGGTGCTGCCACCCTCAGGGCAGGGTTGACCCTGGCCTGACTCTGGGGAAGTGGTTTGCTGTCACAGCATGTGGAAAGGGGTACACATTGGCGCAGCAAGCGCTTTGAGGCCAAGGCCCCAGCAGCGACATGGAGCCCATGAGCTGCCCAGGACTTGGGAGGCCAGCGAGCATGGGCCCACGGCAAGGCTCCCTCAGAGCACAGCCCTCGGGGCACCATCTCCCCACAGGCTTGTCAGCAGGCAGCATGTACGGAGGGCCCCCTCTCCGCCTGTGACTGGCTTTACCACTGTGTCCTGGCCACTCACACCCATATGTGCAGCGGGGAAGAGCGGCAGGCTGAGTCCACCCACCTGCCCACCTGAGCGGTTCTCTTCCACCTGCCACACCCCCCAGAGCCACCAGCCCACGGCCTGAGCCGACCCCGCATTCCTGGGGGCTCTGTTTACTTGTGCACCACACCAACTGCATCCCTGCTTGGGACAAGTAATAGGAACCAGAAGCCCTTTCTGGCAGGGCCGGCAGACAGAGGGGCACAGAGCCCAGGAAGGGGCAGGAGAGCAGCTGGGCAGGCGCCAGGGGCTGTGGCAGGGCTGTGCCTTGGTGCCTGAGACGGGCCCAGAGAGGAGCCCACCGGGGCAGATGGCAGTGAGCTGTGGGCCTGGGGTCCTCATCCTCCCCTCCGGAGCTGACACCCAGATGCTCCCAAGCTGTGTGTGGATGGAGCCAGGACAGTGTCACCCTGCGCATCCTGCCTGGATTCCCGGAAAGCTGAGAGAGGCAGACTCCCTCCGGGAAGAGGCGGCCTCCCAGGGACTGTGCTGGGCCCAGGCTGATGTTTCCAGGCCCCTCTGTCACAGAGATCCAGCTGCAGGACACATGTCCCAGGGACCCTGACATAGCCAGAGGCTCTGCCCTAAGCCCAGTGTGTCCACTGGAAGGGAGGGAGCAGGGTTCTCTGCCTCGCTGCAGGCTGGGAGAGCTCACAATGTGGGCTCCACAGCAAGCCCCCTTTTTTCTCTCACATCTGCACTGCTCAAGCAGTGTTTTCTCCATATGAGATAGGACTTGGCTGCTTGCTGTGAGAAGTCCCACTGGAGCTTGACCATCTGCTTGAGGCTTCCTCGAGCCTGACACTGGGCTCTCTCTGCAGGGATCTAGTTAGGCCTCCGTGCACTTCCAGATCGGAATAAAGTGACTATTGTTTGATGCCGCTCAGTGTTAGGACCTGAATGTTGCAGTCCTAACTCTCAAAGTGACCCTACTTGCAGACAGGGTCCTCATGGGGTGGCAAGAGATGAGCCCCCACAGTGGGGCCCGACCTCACTTGGAACCAGCCGGCTGCATGTTGCCCTAGGACCTGCAGCGTGGGCCTGGCCTGCTGTGTTTGTTGCAGCAGCCAGCGCCAACTTGTACACTCCACGTTCCAGTTTACAGATGCCAGGGTGCGCATGCTGGGAGCCTGCAGGTTCTAAAAGCAGCAAAAGACCCACAGTTGGCGACCCGCAAGGCTCACATTCTGTAGGGGAAGGGGGCTTATAGAGAAGGCGCCCACACATTCCAGAAAACAGGCTTCCGACGGGGCCCAGGGCTGCCCACCTGTGCCCCTTGCCCTGGGCTCTTAGAGATGAGGTGTTCCTGGCAGAGGGCTCTGTTCTGGTAGAAGCAGGCTGGAGGCAGGACACAGACCTGGGCCCTGAGCCAGGTCCCCACGCTGGTGGTGACAGGCGAGGCAGAAGGAAGCAGCTGCAGTGTGTGGAGACTCCCTCTGCCGGAGCCTCCAACAAAGCCAGGGATTTGGGGCTGGTCTGAGGGTCATCCGTCAGGCCAATGTCCTGGGGTTTGTAATCACCGCCCTCACACAGTGTGGTTTCCGGGTTCCGAGAATTCCCACCACGGCAGTCAGTGGACACCACAGTGGTTCTCTCTAGGAACCTGCTGCTGGGCCAGCATGGAGGACGCAGCCCCTGGTTCCCCACTGCTCCTGCCCTGGGCATCCTGCCCCCCACCTGCCTGTGTATGGGACCTGAGGAGGCCCAGTGACAGCACCAATAGGGCCCTCTGGCCCTGATCCTGGCCAGACTGAGTGCCAGGCAAACACAGGCCCTGTAGCTTGGTCTGGGTGGCCAGGGCACCATCAGGCGTCGAGGGAAATGTCCAGCCCCACTCTCTCCCAGACCAGCTGTGCTGGCTGCCATCATTCCAGCCTCTCCTTCCTTAGGGCTGTCTGCCATGCTGTGTGGTTCAGACCAACGGGACAAGGGGAAAGGAGGGTCCCAAGGGAACTATGCCTGCACTGCCCAGTCAGCCTTCAGGGCACTCTGGGGCCAGTCAGCACACCTGGGGACAGCGCACTGCCCCACCTGTCCTCCAAGTACGCTGCAATCCGGCCTGCATGGAGGCCCGCCCCACTCTCCCCTCCTTGGTCATGTACATGACATGGCCCCCCAGACACTGAGCTCCAGGGACAGCCTGTCTCCCACTGCCCGACTGAACTGGCACCTGGAATCTGGGGGTGACGCTATGGCCACCTGCAGGTGCAAGCCCAGATTCCCTGCCCAGCTAGCACCCTGACTGCCTCCGCCTCCTGGCCTAATCCCCACCCCTCTCCCCCAGCTCAGCTGCCCCAGCCCCGCTAGGGCAGTGCACCCAGCCCAGGACCATGGAGAGGATCCAGGCACGTTGTCCATGGCTCTTCCTGCCTCTCCCAAGGACTCAACTCCCGCCAGGCCCCTGCAGCCCCCGAGGCTGGAAGGCTGCTTCAGCAGAGCAGCTGTGCTGGCTTTGAAGGAACTGGGGATGCTGGCGTGATGAGTTTCGTGGATGAGCCTGGCAGACTGCACGCTTCAGATGCCTGTGGCTTGGACCCCAGCCCCACGATGTTGCCAGCAGCAACCTCCAGGACAGAGGAGCCTCCCAGGGCCTCCCCACCAGGAGCAGAAGTGCAGGCAGAAGGGCCTCTGCAGCCTCTCTGCCCCACAGGTTAACGCAGGCCTGAGGAGGGAGGGGCCAGCCAGGGCCACGCATGCAGGCACAGGGCAGAGCCAGGCCGCTTCCACCAGCCTGTGCCCTAGGGCAGGCAGGGGCAGCCAGGCATGCTACCCGGGACACGCTGGCAGCAGTCTCTCCCCAGGTGTCCCTCCTGAGTGTGGCAGATATGAGGATGAGAGTTCAAACGGCCACGGGCCCCCAGACTGGCCTCATGTATGTCACTCAACCCAGGGGACAGGAGAAAGCCACATGTCTGGGCAGAGTCCCCAAGATCAGACAGGTCAGGCTCTGCACCGGGGCAGGGGTGTCAACTGGCACATCCCTACTCACAGTAGGGAGGGCTCCCCTCACAAGTTACAGGGCCAGGGGCGGCTGTCCACGCTGGCACACTGCAGATGCCATGGAAACCAAGAGTGATTTTCAGACACCACGACCACACCGCCTCCTGGGCAGGAACCTCTCCACTGGGGAAGGGAGTGGCCAGCCACTCTGAAGCCTGGATACCCCTCTCCCCACCCCAGGAATGGGGGACCCCGGGAGGGCAACCTGGCAACACAGCATCCCAGGATGCCGGCACCTGGGAACAAGGCCATCGCTGCACTGGGGCCAATGGCAAAATTCCTCTCATAGATTCTGTTTTAAGAATGGAAACAGAAACCTGTTTGAGTTTTATTCCGTAACATCCTTTAGAAGGGAGGCACACAGGGAGCTTGTGACTTCCTGCGCTCACCCTCCCCGCCATGGGGTGACTCCAAGGCTCCCCTTGAATGTTTCAAGGTCCCCTCAAGCTACTTCCTTGGGGACTTGCCAGATGCTTCTGCCCAGCCCCTAAGAGCTTCTGCCCTGCTAAAGAACCCAGTCCCATCCTTCTGGCGCCTTTTCTACCCCTGGCCTCCATAATCCTCGGTCCAGCCTGCTGGGGAGACCAAGGCCCCAGTGCTCAGCTGGAGTGCACCCTTGTCAGTCTGCATAGCCCCAAGGAGAAGGCCCTGCCAGCAGCCCAGTGGGTGGGAAGGGGCCCTGCTGCAGCTGAGCTCCATCTGTGCTTCTGCCCTGCAGCTGGCAACACGGGGAGGGCACAGCTCCTGTGAGTCTCCCTTTGCACATCTGCTGAGGCCCTCCCATCGCCCAGGCCCAGAGTGCCACTGAGAACCAGATGGAGCAGCTGCCAGCCAACCCACACCCTCACCCTTGACCACCGAGGCCCTCAAGAGTCCAGGGGTCTGGTATAGCCTGGGACCAGGACGAGCTATGAGGAGCCCCCGCCCTGGCCCCCAACAGGCAGCCCCCTAGGCCATGATGGGGCATTTGGCCTCCCACACCTGGCCAGCACCTCAGGTCCACTGCAGCCAGGGCCCGGGCCCCTCAGCAACAAGAAGCAGTTTGGGTGGGGGTGGGGCACCCCAGAACCCCACAGAAGCCCCAGGGAACCCTGGGAATTGGGTGGGATGGTGCCTAGGCAGGTGGCTGGGGAGAGGACCAGAGGCCTTGTGCCCCAGGCCACCAGTGGCTTCCCTGGATGGCCCAGATTGCCTGTCAGAGAGAGGTGGCTGCCAGCCCTGGGGAAGCCAGCGTGTGTGTCTCAGCATCCCCCAGGAGGGAGACAGATAGGACCACAGGGCCTCACATGGCAGAGGGCAGCTGTTGTCTCATGATGCTTCCTGCAAATCCCTCACTGAGAGCTGCAGCTGAGAGAAGGGGGAGGGACGCAGAGGTCACTGCTCTGTGTCCAGCCATGATCAGTGAGTCCCGACTGGGTCCTCCGACGGGATAGCCAGGAAGAGGACACCAGCACCCACAAGGCCATTGAAGCCCCTGGAGGGCACCACTCAGCCAGGCCAACAGGTCACAGCTCTGGGAAGACAGCCAGGTCGCCAGACCACAGGAGCCTTGGCACCTGACCTGCAAAGACCTTCAAAACCAGCAGGTGCCACCAATCAAGACTTCTGGGTCCCCAGTGCACAGAGTCCCAGGAATCCCAGCTCCGAGATAGCTGAGGGCATGGGCAGGGGCTGGGGCAAGGCTGGGGATCTGCCAGACCTCTGCATTGTGGCCCATCCCTCCTGGCCTTTGTCTCTTTCAGAGGCATCTCCATGAGCATCACCTCAGCACAGATGGGTGAGATGAAGAAGAGGGAGTGTCCCAGCTCTGGGGACAGTGAGGGGATAGCAGGGGTCCGCCCCACCAGTCCTGGGGCTGCTCTTCCCTGGGGGGCAGCCTGGCTGGGGCATGGGAGAGATGCCCCCCAAAATCTGCCTCTTGTAGTGGCTGAGGCGACCACAGTGCCCCCAGAAGTCCCAGCAGGCGTGGCTTGGCTGTGCCCTGACTCCACTGCCCTGGGCATGTGGTCAGCAACCTTTCTCACCGGGTTCTGCTCCCTACCCTGGAGGCTGCCTGGCTCCCACAGCCAAGGTTGGGACAGGGAGGAGAGGTACAATGGGCTATGAGCCGCTCAGTGGGAGTGAGGTCGTGCAGAGCTGCCCAGGCCCACACTGGGACTCTCAGTTAAAAAGAAGGGGCGTCACGCACTGGGACCCTCAGTTACAAAGAAGGGGCATCACGCTCAGGCCCCCCAGAGGTGGAAGTGTCTTCCTAGACCCCGGGCACCCATATCGCTGCAGCCTCCCGAGCTGGTGGGGACCCCAGACACCCACGGCAGAGGAACCGGAGCCCAGAGTCGCCTATCCCCATGGCCCCTCCCTGCCGGACGCAGTCCACTCCACAGGCCCCTGGAGCAGCCCAGCTCTGTAGGCCAGGAGCGGCCACATGCTGCCTGCCCGCCCGCCTCCTCCATTGCTCAAGGACATTTGGGTCTCCCTGAGTCTCAGTGGCAGCCCAGTGGGCCCCTGCTGACCGACTCTGCAGGCAGTCGCCTAGCAAGGGCACATGCAACCTGGGCTTCAGGGATCTGGCCAAGTGGCACCTCAAGACACCCCTTCTCCCACACCTGCCTCACTCCCAGGAAGGACCTTAAGACACTGAGGCTGCCGAGCCCACAGCACAGGAGCCCAGCACAACCAGGAGGGAAGGGGTTGAGGGCACCCAGTGACACTTACCCAGGCAAGTCCTGCCGTCGGAGTGCAGCCGGAAGCCGGGCTTGCATGCGCAGAAGTAGGAGCCAGGAGTGTTCACGCATCGGTGCTGGCAGCCGCCGTTGTGTGCCCGGCACTCGTCCACATCTGTGAGGAGGACTGGGGTTACAGCCGGGCCATGCCTCCGTGCCCAGACCCACGCCTTCTTCTAGGACTGGAACAGGCAGAGGTGGCTGCCCCTCCTGGGGCTGGTGAGCTGGGTAGAGAGAGCCAGTCTTGGTGGGCACTCCCAGGCAGCACCGGCCCCTCCTTCGGGGCCCACAGGTCAGAAAGCACAGCTGGCCCAATGTAGGGGAGACCCACTGGGGGCACAGGAGACATTAATGGCTCAGACAGTGTCCCCGATTCATGCCCATTCATGTGAAGAAGGTGTCTGAGCAGATGAAATAAGGACGGGGAGGAGGTCATTGTGGGAAGAGGCTCCTGGTCCAATAATGGACAACAGTCACACAGAGAAGCCACGGGGAGGAGCAGAACAGGGCAGGTGGCCAGATGAGGACGGGCGAGAGCCAGTAGGAGAAAGAGGCAGGAAGAACCTTGCCCACGTGTGAGTTCAGGATCCAGCCTTCATGGAGAGATGTTCCTGCTGTCTTAGGACCCTGGCTTGTGGCTGCAGCCCCAGGACACTCATGCAGGTGGGGCAGACTGAGTGCCCCTACACCTAGGCTCCCTGTGCAGGGCAGGGCAGGCAGCACGGCCCCCAACCCAGAGGGACTCGGCTACCACAGGACCCTTCCAGCACCCTGCATGGTTACTTTGAGAACTATGGTTTGTGGGGTCCCAGGAAAGGCCTGAGGTGTAGGGGACAGAGCGACAGGCTGGGGAAGGGGTAGGTGGACTTGATTTCCCACAGGGTGCTGGCTTGCAGGGTCTCGGCTGTCCACAGATGACCAGGAGGGCCTAGGTCAAGAGGGCAGACGCCGTCCAAGGCTATGGGCTCCATGCAGGGCCCTGGGCACCCCTATTCTTCCCGTCGGCACAGTCGCTGAGCTCAGGGAAGGTGCCACCCAGAAGACAGGGAGGGAGCTGGGGGCTTGAGAAAGACCCTTCACCAGGCCCTGTGGCTACCTCCTGCGGGTCACATGGGACACACAGGGTAGAGAACACACAGGGCACCAGGGAGCCCAGGCAGAGGCAGGGAAGATAGACACAACACGGAAGGCAGAGGCCACAGGTTTCCTCAGCTGCCGTGTGCATGGCTCCTGGTGGGGCCCCTGGTAGATAGGTGTCTACCACACAGCTGCCCAGCCCAGAACTGCCCACCAGGAAGAATTCCAGAACCCAGGGGCACCCAGGCCTCCAGGCACAAGGTCTGAAGTACGAGCTGTGTGCTCAGCAGAGGGACAGAGGGCAGAGGATGACACAGACACAGCACCCAGGAGCTGCCAGAGACAGGGGAGTGGAGGATGCCACTGGGAAGGCAAGGGCAGAGGCAGGGCTGCCTCGGAGCACCGGACTTGGCGCCAGGTCCAGGCCGGGTGACACTGCCAACCTTGCCACGCAGAAGCCTTGGAGGAGTGGGAAGGTGCTGACAGCTGCGGGGAGCAGGAGGACAAATCGGAGCTCAGGTGTGAGCACCTGGGGCCCTGGCCAGGGTAGCAGGTGGCCCAGATGTCAACAACCCAGGGACAGCGAGGCGCAGACAGCAGTGCTATGCTCAAAACAGCGGATTCCTCTCCAGGCTCGGCTGGGAGAAAGAGTAATTTCAGGGGCAGCTCCCAGGGGCAGCAGGGCACCAAGGTCTCTGACTCTGCTTAGCCATCCAGTGTGTCCCTGCTCTCTGCTGTGACGCTGTGACTGCCGGGCCTTCTGCCACCTCTGAGGCTGCCCCCTAAGTATACTTCTGAAGGACACAGAAAGCTGTGCTTCTCACGTACAGGGACCATGTCCCCATGCACACCTGCAGCAAGTGCCCGGCCACCACGGGGGACACAGGATGAGCCACAGGCTCCACCACAGGCCACGTCCACTCTGGGGAGACAGCCAGGGTTCCCGGGCCCTGAAGGTGCTGCCTGAGGGAGGTGGGAATGATACTGTAGGGACCTGCACCAGGAAGTCGCAGGGTCCTCAGAGGGGTGACTCGCGGGAAACACTGGGATACAAAGGGCTGGACCTGGAGCAAGGAGACGGCAGGCAGCGCCCACCCAGGGGCTTAAGGAGGATCCCCAGCTGAGGTCCCTAAAGGCAAGATGCAGCTGCGCATGCAGCAGGGGCTCCCTATGAACCAGCGGGCCTGCACCATCCAGTTCTCAGAGGGCCCGGGTCACCTTGCACCTCACTCCTGCCCCAGACCACATCCAGCAGCACTCACCCGGCTGGAAGACGTGGCCACACCCTGGGAAAGGCGATGTCCAAGGGAGCGTGGCAGCCTGGGGTACAGGGCAGCCCCACACTCAGCAGGGCCGCCTCCCTGAACATGACTGGCTGTATGGACCTGAACATTCAGTTGCATGTCCTGCCCCGGAGTCTCTCTTAGGTCAACTCCCTCCAGAAGTCCCCATTCCCTCTCAAAACAGGCCTCACCAGGCACGGTGGCATGTGCCCATGATCCCAGCACTCAGGAAGCTGAGTCAGGAGGATCACTGAAAGTTTGAGGCCAGCCTGGACTACATAGCAATACCCTGTCTCCAAAAATAAATAAATGGGCCGGGATTTAGCTCGGTGGTTCTGATGCCTGCTTCACAAGCCCAAGGATCCAAGTTCGATTCCTGATACCAAAAAGCAAACAAAAAATAAATAAAAATACAGGCGTAGACTGGCCAAGTGGGGAGAAGGCCCATTGAGTCCTCCACAACACCCTTCCAGGAGCCTCAAGCTGCTGTCTCGGGGAACTGCCTGCATGGAGGGGGCATGGGCAGGAGACACCGAAGTTCTGCCATGGCTCCTGCACCCATGTCCACTGTCTGCCAGGGTCAGCACTGGTGAGCCCAGCCACAGGCTCAGTGGCCTTCAAGGACTGTGGTCATCTGAGTCACAACCCTAAGGATGTCTGTGTCCTCGTCCCAAAACCCACTGATGACAAGGACTTCACAAAGGGGATTAAAGCAGGGCCTTGCACTGGCCAGGCATCCAGGGCTATCGGGCTGGACACAATAATCGCCTGGGCTCACAGAGAGGCGATGAGTGACCAGGGCCAGGACCAAAACACCTGGAAGATGCTGCAAAGCCAGGGCTGGAGGAGACCAGGGCTCAGGGACAAGAACACTGTGCATCCCGGAGCAACAGAGAGCCCTGCAGCTTTGGGGCAACAGCCCTGTCCACACCTTGGACTCTGGCCCCAGAGAGTCAGGGAGTCTTGGGTGTGGGGAGTACAGAGCGCTGGCCACAGGAGCCTTCAGGCAGCCATCAGTTGAGTCCAGGCAGCTCAGGCCACCCCAGAGGTGGGCTCTGGACAGCCCAGCTCCCAACCCCAGTGGCAGGGCCTCTGTGCCCTTTAGGGTGCTGCCCCCAACACCTCTTGAAGCTGGGCACCCTGGATCCCCTGTCTGTAGGCCTGTGCCCCAGGATGGTGCCATGCTGCCTGTACTTGTGGGGTACAGATTGGTCAAGTCTTGCTGGGCCCTGTGGAGGCTCCAACATGGAGGACCACAGACCCTACACCCCAGCAGGAATACCACCCTGCAGGGATGAGGGGGTCCAGGCCCCAGGCAGCATGGGCAGTGGGGCCCAGTGAGGCCAAAGGGAGCAAGGCAGCCACCCAGTGCCCTGCTGTCTGAGTCACAGGTGGTACCTGCTCACTGCAGGGGCAGCAGCCTGGCCCAGGGCAACATCACCTGGCCTGTGCCCCTTAGGAGAAGCTGGAGGGGCATCCAGTTGGGAGGAGGTAGACCAAGCATGGCCACGAGGAACAGCCAGGCCAGGGCTGTGCAGGGACATTCTCTGGTCCTGCTCAGGCTCAAGGACACAGCCAGAACACACACTGGCACACGGTGGCATTGCTGTGCCAATCCAGAAGCCAGGTGACACCTACAGGCATTTGCCAAGCTGGGCTGATGGTGCCACAGTGAGCCCACCACAACGCTACCAGGGGCCCAGGGCCTCCACCAGCTCCTGGCCCAGCAGTATACACACCTGGGCACAGGCGGTGCTGGGCTGCTGCCAACCGCCTGTCTCAGCGGAAACCACCCTGGAGCCCTTCCGAGGCTTCCCCGCCCATCTGGAAACAAGGCACCCCTGAGGCCCTGCCTGCCAGCAAGCTCTGCTCTGCACCAGCACCACATGAGAGCCCTGCTATCCCCAGGAGACCGCACTATTACCCAGGCTGCCCTCCCCAAGGTCCGCAGAGCAGCGGGCTCCAGCCCCCAGAACCCAGCCACCCTCAGAGCTTTGGATGTACACAGAGCTTGGCAACCAGGGCCACTCAAAACGACACACCCCCGGGCCTGGGCAGAGCCAATGAGTAGGAGGGACAGGAGGCAAATGCAGGCCCCAGCTGGGCCCAGGGACCCTGCAGGGGAAGCAGACAGCATCGCTCAGCACTCCAGCACCCTCAGGGGTGACAAGGAGGCTGGCCCTAGGACCTTCTGAGGGGCCACTGGTGACCAGGGCTGGGCAGGGAGCCATGAACCCCTGCCCGCCACAGTGGCAATGACTCACAGAACCACACCACACCCCTCACATTCCTGGGTACCCAGTGCTGGCTGCAGAGCCACAGAGCCACGTGGAGGGAGGCTGGTCCCCCACAAGTACTGATCCCAATCCCATGGCAGGGAGACAGGGTGGCCCCAGGCAGGTACCTGCCACAGCCACTTGTGTTCCCTGAACACCCGAGAGAGACCCAGCTCCTCCTACTCCCCCTTTCTGACCCCAGGAAGACCCCATACCTGGAGCAAAGCAAGGGACGTTTTCCTTCCCTTGGCCACGTGACCTTGCTGTCCACTGCTTGGACAGCCGCCACAGGGCACAGGGACGTCGATTCCTCCATTCCAGAGAACAGAGTGCCAGGCACTCACTGCCTGTACTGCCCATCCAGCCTCTGCCTCTCAGTGGCCTGGCACAAACTTTGAAATGAGGAAACAAAGGGAGAGGGCTGTGGCACCCTGGTCCCGCCCCCGGCCCCTGATGCCCACCTGGCCTCTGGTCAGCGG